GGGGGGGGGGGGCAGAGAAACCAAGTAGTGACAGTGCTGTAGTGACAACTGATTGTAGGTCAATAATAACGCGAGATGATGCGTGTAGTTTAAGGGTCGTAGACAGTTTAATGACATTAAATAATCTTACTGTTTGAACGTCTGTACTGTGTTAAAATCCTGTATTATCAAGTTACGCTGCAGATTGCCGGGTGATCAACCGGATCCTTGTATGATATGCCCCATTGTGTGTTACCGGGATGACTGGAGATAATCGAATGTAGTGTCATCTTACCATAACATTACAAAGACAACTAACCAATAGTATATAGTATTATTGTGAAAAGATTCATGTGGCACAACCAATAAGTATTCATATGTGACGTTTCAAAGACTAGAAGGTGACAGAGTACATATCGTACTAGTCATCGAAACGTCACATAGAAACGATGATTGGTTGTGCTACATGAATCTTTTCAAAATCCATACTTACCAAACTGAAGAGAATGTTTAGAAATACCGATAATATTAGATTTACAAACGGTTATTATAGGAACAAAGTATATCAATTTCTCATCATAATACCCCTTTTGGTAGCTTCCATAGCACGGAGTTTCAGGCGGAAGAAGATCGGCAGAAAAAGTATAATACTCAAGGTATTTAGTTAATTAAACCAGGTGGTTGCAGCATAAGAACCATAGCGAAGCAACGTGAGGGAAGCAAACAACTCGAGATTAATATATTTATTTCGATTTTGAGTGTACTCAAGACAAGCATGATGAGTGCGAGAGCGACTAAAACTCAGGAGCAGGCAAGGGATAAATTAACTGTTAAAATTCCTGGTGTGGTTCATTCTACAAAAAACGTATGTTGCCTACGTGAACCAAAAGATAACGTCTTGAAGAAAATGTGATGTGGACGAAACGTATAAACATTTCACATGCCCCGAGACGACAAAGGATTGGGCTTGGTTCTATAGGACTAAGACGACAAAGGAATTTAGCAAATGATTGCTTTCTCCGAAGAACTACGAGGTCAAGGTCCTGTGTCATAATTTCAAAGTTTATAGCAAATACCGTATCCTGGTGTATCTTTACAAAAATGGGATACTGCCAGAAGTTGTCAACAGCGGTTCGAAATACTTGAGTAATGAGGTTCCGCAATGTCATACTGTACGCGTGCTTGTTTTGGAGCACTCAATATTTAGCGCTTATCAAACTTTCATCGATTAGTGCGTTGATGAATTGGCGCATCCCGAAAATATGCAAAAGAGAGCAATGTTCATGAACTTAAACTAGCGCATTCATAATTTAGCGCATTTACTAAAGCGTGAAAAGTACTTAAACAGAACTACCGCTAAAACACGTACGTTTACAGTGTATTCGATTTATGGACAGGATCAACCTCTTACCTATGGCTTTAGCGAATTTCCCAGAAGCATTTGAAGTCGACGAATTAGCTAAAGGATACTTATTATTAATTGTTCACCCTTAATTAACCCTTATTTATTAAATCCCAAAGGAAATTGTGACAAAATTCCTGCCTCTTTTACCTGACATAAAGTATAATCACCCCAGACGGCATGAATTCAAAAAGAAAGAAATCATTTTTTAAGTGGTATAAATATTCAGAAAATATAAATACAACTGACGAAGAAAGACGAAAGTTGAATCATCACACAATGTAGCATCCTCGATACTCCAGGGGTTACGCTCACTTTCGCTCTCTGCATCCCTGGAATATGTCATAGCAAAATGGAAGGCAGCATATAGCTGTTTGATTGGTCTCAGGGGTGCAGAGGGCGTAAGTGAGCGTAAGTGAGCGTAACCCCTGGGATATCGAGGATTACAATGTAGCGTCCGCATACAGTCTTGTTGATAGAACAATGTTTGTAAGATTCCAAAAACAATGAAACGGTTGAAACGTATCGGAGACACTAAAGGTCTTAGACTCCAACACACTCCAGTGAAGAAGAGAAACAAACACTACGATGAAGGAGGAGAGGTATCTGTCTTTGAATCAATAGATGATTCTGTCACGGTTGAACAAAATGCGTTATGCCCGTAACACGATCAACACTGTATCCGATTGAACCATAGTCGATATGGATAGGAGGATGTAGGACAATAAACTTTATATGTATGGGAATGGGAATCTGAAAGACAAAGTAAACATTATTAATCAATAAGTCATTTCTGAACACGCTAGACATCGAAGACCCCCTGGAACCAAGGGATGTTTTAGTTTTGAGAAAGAACAGTACCATTTACACTGCGGAGGCCACGAAAGACATACAGATAAGAAAACAATGGGATGACATCCCTTTATCCTTATATCAACAAGGTAAATTTAAGCGGCTTTAAAGTCGGGTGTTGGCCCTCTGTAATCTTCAAATGGCAGGTATTAGTCAAGCTAATTGCTAACCGCGTGCCTTCGGTTTTTTCATAACATACAGGCGCGTAGCTGCCTATACGCGAGTACGCAGTTGAATCCACATGATTCTGACAAACAAACAAAAATTCAGCTAAAGTTGCCTTATGCGTACTTGACTGCATGCTTATATCAAACGTTCCTTGTCGTTTCTATACTAAATAGCCATTGAAGACACCTGCTCAAGAAGATGCCATATTTGATGCATTTCATGACGACTTTAGTGGAGATCGTGAAAGCTTCAGGCGTGAATTCGAAAGTTGCCCGGTCTTTGGAAGAAACAAAGCCTTCTGACCTTAGTGCAACATTTACATAAGTCTGGTAGTGTGGCTTATTACCATGCCGGTCTCAACAGTCTCAACTGAGAGGCAGTTCAGTATCATGAGAAGGGTGAAAAACTACATGAGTTCCACTATGTCCACTGAACGTCTGTCTGGACGAGCAATGTTACATAGTTAGACAAATGGACATTGACATTGAAAATATAATAATACAGTGAGTTCGCTGGCAAAAAGCACAGAAGATTATACTTCTGTTAGATAATCTGGGTATTATTAACATAATCGGGGCTCGTATTTGTTTGCTATTTTAGCTCTATTTAAGAGAAAAAATATGCCGAGTAAAGGGTTTATTTGTTGATTTAAGATCCTAAAACTTTCCATTTTCGAGTACTAAATAAAGCACCTCAGAATGCCCAGAATGCACCAGATTGCACCATTGTTTTTAAAAATGTCCAGGGGGCCAGGCCCCCCGACCCCCCTAGCACAGTTATGAATCCACGTTAATAGAGGCCTAGCTACGCCCTTGACATATTGCAGGGGTGCAATTAATATACATTTGTATGTGCGCGTAACCCGTGTAATTTGGAGGATGTGGACAGACGGACCTTATATTGTGACACAGATTCAGCGAACAAGGTTCGGTGGTGTACACAGAAGGAGTCTGAGCTTGGTGACAATCATGGCGATCCCACAGAAGGGTTGGAACTAAGGACGAACATCGTTAACTTTTCACGGAACGTCCATAACACCAATGCATATACTAATTGAGCTGTCGCGCGAGGAATTACTGATATAGAAAACTCTAAACATCAGCCAGGATACAGTGAAACATGTTCTGTTGGAAAAGGACAATTGGAAAAGAAGACGTACATTGGATAATTGTATAATGTTTATTACCTGTACTTTTGCCCTCTTTATTTATTGTTTTGTGAACAATAATTTTATAAATTCTTTAAATGCAGTGATGTATTAATTACTTTTTAATCATTATTTGATAATTCAGTTTTAACTCATTTCATTCAGAAAATTCTTGTTATTGCAGAAGTTCACCACCAGGATATGCCACCTATATGCGCATTAAAATGTAATATTTACATTCTGTATGCTTAGACCCATTGACAAAAATTACATTCATAAATGCATAACACAGGTGTTCATAGAATCTCAGCACGTGGAAACTGATAGTAACCTGATCACACTGCGTAGTAATACACTACAAAAACTACTCACTCGGAACGACCGACCTAGATGCTTAATTCTTACATCTTAAAATATTATTGAACTGTGCTTTGTGAAATATCCACGTATTTACGTGTCCTGTGCTACAAATAAACATTGAATATGGAACTACATTTTGTTGTGTTATTGTTGTTGACGGTTGCTAAGATCTCTCACGATAGTGTCACATTTCCCCGCGAAAAAACACTGTTCTCGCCACTGCATTGCACCCGTGTATAAGCACGAACAAACCCTGTTTATTTGTTTAATTCGTTGTTATATCGATCCACTGAAAGGATTCGTCAATGTAAATATAAGGAATGATATTTATTTTTTCAACATTTATGAGGTCATAACTGTTGAAAAAATAAAAATCATTCCTTAATTGATTATTATCCCACACATGATCATATATAACAACCCAAGATCATTTCCAAATACAACAATTCTCTCCTTACGTTTTTTGGAGGATATAGCTGTAGCACAGTTGGGCGAGGACACTTCGGTTAGCTTAACTCATTTTCATTTCAAAATCAATTTTATTGTATTTAAAACACAATTGGATTAGGCACAGGCATTGTCTATTAAAGCCCTTTCCAGAAGAAAATCTATAAATTTCATACATTCATATACACATATATATAGAGAGAGTATTATAGAGAAGATGTAGTATATGTTCAACCTAATAGGAGAATACTAGAGCCATTTAATACATGTTCACAGAAAATAATAACTAGAATATCATAGATTTTAACATTTCAATTACTATAGTCTATTTACTTCAATTAGTAGTATGGCCTAGTGTTTGGTTAGAGACACTTAAAAGTCACTGTCACCATACACAGTGTCATCCTTCCCAATTACACCAGAGTTATTGTTATAAAATAGCAAATACAAACACATGGTAAGATAATTTGTAGTGTAGTTTAAGTTAAAATCTTCCAGATTTTTCAATATACTCCAGAACATTTGAGAGAATAAATTTATTTGATTCACTGCTAAGGTTCATATCACCCTTAGTGAAAGTATTAGTATTTAAGATGTCTTTCATCTACATATTTGGGGCAATTGAGGAAGAAGTGATTTGCATCTTCAATAATATAACCACAGTCACAATTAGGGTTATCTGTAAGATGACCGTTATATGAATCTGATTTTAACTGGCTGACTTTATCCGTAGTTGACATAATGTTATATTCAACTTCCTGGAGCCACCGTATTTAAAAATATCTGTACATTTAGATGGTTGCAAACTGTGTGTGATTTCTTTAAGTCATTCCAGTTTTAACTGGCTCAATGAAGTGAGTTTTGGAAAAATACAGTCTGGCCTATTCCATAGAGACATCATTCTAGGAAAAAAGCTTAACTCATTCACCCCTGAAGTGTCATAATGAACTATTCCAACCTTTGAACTGGAAGGGTTCAAATGTGTCATCTACGGATACATGAGATAGTAAGTTGGTTAAAGCGGTAGTATAAAACCCTGTAGTCCCGGGTAAATCCCGGTCTTAAGCATTATTGCTTGATAAGTTTTCACTATTGTACTGCAGGGTGTGGTTTTCTTTTCAATAATAATGTATTACTATAGCCACATGGACGAAATCGGCTTCTAGTGCATAGGTACGGTTTTCGGCAGTGCACGGGGATTCTTATACTATACACATTATTTCTGGCATTATAATTGACCTATAATCAATTCTTACAACCTCCGGTTTTGCTAACAGACCGGAGGGAAATACTTACCAAATTGGGAACAGTCGGCTTTCCGAGAAACAACATTGCGGGGCCATAGACTACCAATGCATATACTCTTGTTTCTTTAAACGTTATGGTTGAATATCTAATTGTTTGTCGTTATACAGTTTAGTGCACAACCAACGAAAAAGTGAAACAGATGAAAAAAACATATTTTAGATCTACGTATTCCCATAATTTTGATTATATCATTATTTCAATGTGATTGATAAATTGCGTTGTTTTTTTCGAATAATCATTCTTTAAAATTTTTGAAGTAAATCATAATAAAATGTAAGAATTATTCACGTCGGTTGACTCACCTGTGTGTTGTCTTGTCGGCTAACTTGGCTGAAAATGAGACAGAAGCATGTATTTCCCAACGTTATCTTGACGAATTGGTGTTGTTGTAGCGTTGGCATATCGGACGAATTATAGAGGACAATGACATAACGTAATAGGCTATCGCGATCGCTATCTACAGGTTTCGACCCTCTACTTAAGGTTGAGAGTACCATCAGGTGTAAATATACAGTAAAGATTATCAACATGTTTTCACTTATGAAACATTTGTAATTTCAAGGAGCGGGTAGTATATAGGGAATAACAGTCACTATATGTGAAGGATTTTATTGTTCAGAGTGGAAATTAAACTGCAGAAATCTTGGAAAAATCCACCTTTCGTTTTAAGGTCACCTGGCCCGAAGGGCCAAGTGAGTTTATGGCATGGTGCGGCGTCCGTCGTCCGTCCGGCGTCCGTCCGGCGTCAACTTTTTACTTTAAACTTTTAGTCCACTTATAAGGTTACAATTGTGAGATTAATACCAGGTGAGCGATGCAGACCCATTTGGGCCTCTTGTTATAATTTCCAATGTGCTGTTATTGGAAAATAATATGAAATTCGTATTTACAGTGGCGGATCCAGAGTTTTTTTTGGGGCTTCAAGTAACACCCACCCTAATAATTTTCTTTGAAAATTATGTATTTTCACCATTTTCCTCAATGTTTCCCCACATACCGATTTTAAAATGAAGCCAGAATACAAAGCTGTGAAATGTCAACTTTTAGTGATAGAAAGCGCTTTTACAAGTGAGATGTACAAATAATTTGAAGAGTACACACTTGAATGAGCAAGCATGTCTTAAAACGTTTGTCGATCAAATTTTGTTCTAAAGAACAATGTTACCACATATGATTTCGAGTACAGATATCTAATTGAATCCCGTCTTACTGCATTCGAACATTTGTTGTCCATGACACATACTTACTGAGATTACATGCAACCATTACCTGCGTTTAACTTGAAATACACGAGTAAACTATTATGCTAATTAATGTATGTTTGAGGTGTAAATACGTTTTAGATAGAATATTTTCTAAACATATGAGGTGTTTGTTGCTGTTATTTATTTGATTACCATCTACCGGTTAACCGGTTACTCGCTCGGAAGATAGTTCGAGTAATCAGTTACCAAAATATGACTGGTTTGAAAACCTTAGAAAACAGTAATTGAAAAAGAAAAGAAATTATTATAATGTTATACCACGGAATTAGATGCTAGATTTTTGTAAGTGGGACAAGGTTGATCGTATTTTTCGAAATTTCAAGTACTAAAATAAATTGTCGATTAAAACGATCGGGCAATACAATATGCTTATAGATATAAGCAGTACACGTCCTTTGTGATCTTTACTGTTGATAGTGTTGATCTATTGCGTTTTTCAGCATACACAGATTATTAAGGCTATGTTAATTCAGCATACACAGATTATTAAGGCTATGTTAATTCAGCTAGAATGACCTGAGGGCTTGATACGGATTTCTGACCATGGGACTTTGTCGTTCGTGACTTGTAAAGACGCCATTTTTTAACCGTGCTGCATTTTGTTTTATATAATATATACAATTTTATTTATTTTACAACAATTATTAAACAACTTATTTCAACTTATACTAATCATTCTTGTTGGCCCGGATGATAGCGCTTATTGTGGGAGGAAACCGGAGTACCTGGAGAAAACCGAAGTGGTCAGGCAGGTGACCCCATACCTTAAATTTCACGTCCGATCGGGGAATCGAACCCCGGCCGTGCGCCTTGGTGAAAGGCAAGTGCGCTACATCCACTGCACCATCCGACCACCCTTTTGTTTTTGACGTAAACTATTTCAAATGTATCACTGTTAGATTTACACCACAACAGTCGATTGAACACTAAATTAAAAATAGCAGCAAAACTTACAAATTAATTTGGGAATGAGATTATTTTATTGACATTTTCGAAACCTTGGTGAAATGATATCAACTATGATAATTGTGCTAGCATGGACGACCAAGCGATTCGGCCCACCCAAGTCGCTCGTGCCTAGAAGGAGGATAGTTTATCTCTGCATTAATGCATAAACGTTCGCTCTTTTCAGGGGAATCGAAAAAAAATAGAAATATTACAGAAACATTACTTGGAAAGTTATTTGGTTTTGTTTTTATAAAACATCCTTATGATAACTCAGTGTCCACTTAATGCTGGGAACCGGAATAGGTTCATAACCTTCAAAGTTTTTGAATACTGACATCCGCACTCGAAGAAGACACCAAAAATCTCATACACTGGTTCGATATAAATAAAATGAAAGCAAATCCTGACAAATTCCAAGCACTTGCAATAGGTAAAAAAAAACGGTCACAAAACCTTTCTTTTCAAATAGATGGTATTTCGATCCCATGTGAAGAAAGTGTAAAACTACTAGGTGTTGACATTGACTTTAAGCTCTCTTTCGATCTCCACATCAAAACCATATGTAGAAAAGCCTCACAACAACTAAATATACTCTACAGAATTAGAAAACACCTGAGCAGACTAAATAAACTCACAATTTTCCACACCTTCATACTATCACACTTTAATTTTTGCCCACTCTCCTGGCACTTCTGTTCGGAAACAAATGTTTAAAAAATTGAGAAATTTCAGTATAGGGCACTCAGATTTATTTATGATGACTTCTCAAGCAACTACGATGAACTTTTGGCCCGGGCAAAGATACCTACTTTGAAAATTAGAAGAATGAGCCAAATGGTTATAGAAACCTACAAAATCATACACAAAACCACACCGCCATGTCTCCACAACATTGTCACACCCAAGTCTCAAAATTACAGCTTCAGATATACAAACATTTTGGACATCCCACATGTTAAGACTACTACATACGGTATAAAATCCTTCAAATATGCAGCAGCCTGTCTTTGGAATAATCTTCCTGAAAACTTTAGGACCACAACTAATTAAGGCTATTTTAAATCTTTAATATCCTCCTGGAATGGAACCAAATGTAAATGTGCAGCCTGCAAATAATAAATATCTCACCTTACTCTAACCTCATCTTCTCTTTATCCAGCCTACAGTGTCTTCATTGAAAACTTTTAATTTCAAAGCGTTGTTTTAATTTAATTTATTTTAATTCAATTTATTGATATATGGTATATAGACTTTGAGTGTTGTGAAACACTATACCTATTATCAAAGTAATATATGAACAATATGTGTGTGATATTATATAAATAAAACATTCATGAGAGGGCGATATTGCATATTTTCACCCCAAGGAAGCATTGTTGACCGAGGCGAAGCCGAGGTCAACAATGCTTTCCGAGGGGTGAAAATATGCAATATCGCCCTCTCATGAATGTGATTTTTATTTTATTTTATTATACCGAGTGTCATGTTTAGGTGTTTCACCACTTCACCATTTTTAAAGGTCCTTGTGTTAATTTGACATAAACCAAGACTTCATTTCAACAGTTGTCGAATGAACCAACCNATTATATAAATATCACATTCATGAGAGGGCGATATTGCATATTTTCACCCCAAGGAAGCATTGTTGACCGAGGCGAAGCCGAGGTCAACAATGCTTTCCGAGGGGTGAAAATATGCAATATCGCCCTCTCATGAATGTGATTTTTATTTTATTATACCGAGTGTCATGTTTAGGTGTTTCACCACTTCACCATTTTTAAAGGTCCTTGTGTTGATTTGACATAAACCAAGACTTCATCTCAACAGTTGTCGAATGAACCAACCATGAATGTGATTTGATAACACCCTGGCACTGGGACGAACCGTGCACGCATACATTTGGCGCATGTAACAATTTTTGGAATAACACCCTGGCACTGGGACGAACCGTGCACGCATACGTTTGGCGCATGTGATATTTTTTGGAATGTCACCCTGTCTTCTTTATCTTTGTGAAACGAGCAAGTTACATTGAAAATGTTCACATCTTTCTCAACCAATCAGATTACGAGATTTTAACAGAAGGTATAATAAAAGTAATTGATGTCTTAATGTATTGCATTTTATGTACCATGTATCTGTATGTGTATATGTATATGTCGGTCAAAAGCTCTTCAGAGCTTATGTTATTTTGTTATATACCCACCGACTCTAAATAAACATGTATCTTATCTAAAGTGGCCTAAGAAGGCTGGGTTTAATCGCGTTACTATCTAAGAGGATTTTGTACGGAGTCTCCCAGATGACATGAGAATTAAGAAAATAACTTGCTGCCATTGATTGGGAACATTTATTGTTTCAAGTAAATTTAAGAATGTTTCGTTTAAACATTTCAGTTTATTTATCAGTCTATACATAATCACGTTACCGTACCGTCTTTAAATGTGGTTCTCAGTTTTTTTAATTTCAAACTATATAACATTTGATGAAGCACCCTATCTAGCTAGAATAAGCCACTCCAAAGCGTTCTTACAGTACATAGAATTAATCAATACAATGTATACAGTCAATATAATTAACATATACATTATATAATACATTAATCAATACAATTTTGAGTAATTCGTAAGTTTGTTACCCTAACCCACCCGATATTAATTACTGTACATACTGCATTTACAGGTACGTTTATGTTATCGAATATACATGTATGTCACCTCAAGTGCACTGTACACTTTTGACACGAAATCTATTCAAAGCAATTCCGAAAGGGATTCCTTATCAGTCACAGACTGCGCCAGACCCATACATAATATACAGAGTACCAGACCCATACGTAATATACAGAGTGCCAGACCCATATGTAATATACAGAGTGCCAGACCCATACATAATATACAGAGTGCCAGACCCATACATAATATACAGAGCGCCTGACCCATACATAATATACAGAGTGCCAGACCCATACATACTATACAGAGCGCCTGACCCATACATAATATACAGAGTGCCAGACCCATACATGATATACAGATCGCCTGACCCATATATAATATACAGAGCACCCGACCCATACATAATAAACAGAGTGCCAGACCCATACAGAATATACAGAGTGCCTGACCCATACAGAATATACAGAGTGCCAGACCCATACATAATATACAGAGCGCTAGACCCATACATAATATACAGAGCACCCGACCCATATATAATATACAGAGCAACCGACCCATACATAATATACAGATCGCCTGACCCATACATAATATACAGAGTGCCAGACCCATACATAATATACAGAGCGCTAGACCAATACATAATATACAGAGCACCCGACCCATACATAATAAACAGAGTGCCAGACCCATACAGAATATACAGAGTGCCAGACCCATACATAACATACAGAGTGACAGACCCATACATAATATACAGAGAACCAGACCCATACATAATATACAGAGGGCCTGACCCATACATAATATACAGAGTGCCAGCCCCATACATAATATACAGAGTGCCAGACCCATACATAATATACAGAACGCCAGACCCATACATAATAGACAGAGTGCCAGACACATACATAATATACAGAGTGCCAGACCCATGCATAATATATTGAGTGCCAGACCCATACATAATATACAGAGCGCCTGACCCATATAATATACAGAGCACCCGACCCATACATAATGTACAGACCCATACATAATATACAGAGTGCCAGACCCATACATAATATACAGAGTGACAGACCCATACATAATATACAGAGTACCAGTATAGGACAAACATTAAAAGGCTTTAATACAATTAAACTATCATAAATAACACTTCAATGTTGTATTTGTAGTGTAACGTGTTATGTAATTTAGTATTTAGGCACAACTGTTTCTGACTAGGATATATCTATCATCCTAGTAAAAGTACGTGTACCAAAAACTGAACAGCAGTCTGCAATACTTTTAATGGACTGAACAACCCCCGGCAGCACATTCACAAATGCAGTCATGTTGACAATGTTCTTTTCGAATTGAAATATACCGATGATTAAATCTTGCAAATAACTGAGTTCCTGGTCCACAGCATTTTGTTAAGTTGTTGGCAAAATTTTCCTGCAGACTCTATGCTTTCATATGGGAACAAACTGTCCCTCCTCTGGCCGACTTTTTTTGTTTTCAAATGAGGCCAAATTTATTGAAAAGCTTATCAGAACTGGCCACAAAAACCTGGTCAAGTCCATCAATTTTACTGTCAGACATTTCTACGATGGCTATTTTCAAACTCATGAATTTCAAATCAAGGACACTATAGACTTGTTCCCTTTGTTGATAGTAACATCCCTGTTTCCCTTTTTGCATGGCATAGTTGATTAAGTGTTCAAGAGCTTATGCTACTATCATTATTTACGCGATAGATATCGACTGCTGATGGACAAATTTACAACACAAGATTTTAGACGATGCAGGCTGATACAGATCATGGACAGATTTTATGCGATTTCATTATTCAATATGCAGGTCGTTTTTTGATGCTCATTATGTTGTCTTGTGGTTTTATTGTGACTATCTCGATTATTGCTACGAGATGTGACATTACTTTAATTTGACCTAGACCTCGATGAAGCAGAAGACGCTTACTCTTTCGGAACACCTGGTCTTATTTTCCTTGTTCTCTTTCGATCAAGGGTATCTCTGTAATGTTAACCTTGTTCACATTTTCCCTTAGTTTTAACAATTTTGTGTTTGAATAACGAGTATGCCCAGAATTTATAGAAATAACGCGAATTAAGCATTTTATTAAGTCTTTATCGTGAAACGCATGTGGCCTTGAATTCGGCTGTTTACAATAATCTATTCTTAGACAAAGGATTCCGATAGAGCTACCTGTATAAAAATACCCGAATACGCGTCATGACAGTACACGATGGCACGCGCGCACTAGCGGTCTCAGGTTTGGGGAAATAGGCATAGCAACCTGCAATAGCTCTTTTAAAATTTCTGTTTTGCAATCAGAATTTCGGTCACAATTAAAACTTGCAAAAATAATGTAATCGATCTTCATTGTCACATATAAAGAAATGATCAAAGACAATATGTATTATATTTTATTGGACTTAAAGACGTATGAAATAATTTTAAACTTCATTAATAAATTACAAATGTCTACAATTTGCCCCTTTTTACGTACTATATAGAACGCCATGACATTGCACCAATCGTCGTTTGACTCATGACGCAGAGACCCCCAACGTTAAACTTAGTTCCCAACATGTAAAAGACCTACGACATCTCAATGCACAATATCTACTGTCGCTATTGTGCGGTCAAATCAAGATAAATCTGGTCAACACGTAAGAAATCCTTGAAGAGATGCCAAAGAGCACTCACTGTCATCCGGAAAATACTATTGGCCAATATGAATAAATGAGCAGCACGGTCATCTGTCAATCTAGTTCTACTACAAATCCCTTTTTTGCATTTTTTGCTGTACCTTTCACAAATGACATTTTTAAATATCTGTCAACTAAGAGGACAACAGTTTCAATACATAGAGTTCTATAGGCGAAGAAGCTAACATCAGTATCTTCCTAATACAAACATAGTGACTTCTCATTCCAATTGGCCATGACCTAATTGATTCAAAATGTGTGAAGACCAAGGACTAGCCCGAGTTTCATCTGGCCCTGACACCAGCCTAAAACACATCAGACATCTATCAGTCAAAATGTCCAAGTCTGGTGTCAGGGCAGAGGAAATTCGGGCTAACCAAAGACCTGCCAAATAAAATCTGATTATTTTCGAGAGCTGTTGTACAGTATACAGCGCGTCCAGGTGTGACAAAATATCCCAGAGACATAAAGCATTGATTTTGACCATCATTTGACAGTGGCAAAAATAAATTGATATTAAGCAAAATTGACATAAAAACAAGTGATAATAAAATACTTGAATTACATAGATTACATGGCAGGAAGAAACGTCGCGTCAAGAATTCATGATAATAACCGAAAATGACATTAAGCGAAGTGATATTAAGTGAAATGTACTGTAAAATAAAGCTCCTGATTTCCACGTATTGATAGAGGATAGTGACCCTGATAATATAATAGGCACAGTGACTTGGCTCCAGGACAGTGTTTGCTTTGAAATCACTCAGAGATCTTCCATTATCAACAACAACAAAACCGCAAAATTAATTGTCATGTGAGTGTCCTAGTGACATTAAAGTGGGAAATCCTCAGTAGCCTACATAAATGTGAAAAAGATTATCGTTGGAAATAATTAGTGTGAAGGTAAAAACCTCAAACCATCAAACACTTCCTTGCCTTCATTACATAAACCTCCAGACACAGGAACTAGACATGGACCCACGTCACTATAAAATGATTGCCAGTTTATTATTTAATCCCCCTCGATTATGAACCCTCCCACGACTATGAAAGATATGTAGTCATGGGTTGGGTCATAATCGAGAGGGGTTAAATAATCAACCGGCAATACTTTTATAGTGACGTGGGTCCGTGTCAAGCTCCTGTCACTCCGGACAACAGAAAAGGCTAGCGACTTCATAATCAAAATATCATTATCTGCAGACGACCACAAAGGGCAAATTCTGTCTAAACCAGCAAAAAGGGCAACCATGCAGTGCCAAAGGGTAATAAACCGGCGCTACCTAAATTCTGAAGAAAACAGTATGAACTCCCACTAGAAGACAACATTTTAGATAGTATCTTAATCAACAATAATATTGATAAAATCCAGAAGAATGATCTCTCTGACGGATGGAAACTGAAATTCCTTTGTTATCAAACCAATCAAATAGCTTTAATTATTGAATGCTTTCAATTTTGTCAGGACATATTTCAAGGGAGCGACAGTGCATAACAGCAACTACTTAGAGGTTACTATCACATCAGACCTATCATGGCCTGAATTTGTCATTAACATATTGGCAAAATCATCAATGTTCATTGGCTACCTCTGAAGGAACCTATGTTTTTGTCCTCAAGATGTCAAGTCAGTTACTTTCACCACTATTCTGACCCACACTGGAACATGCCGCCCCAGGCGAGACCCTCATACTCAATTCCAATTCGACCACCTCAAAGGGTCCCAGGGCATGCCATGAGATTTGTTGTGAGAGATCACAAGTCGTGAGAACAAGAAAGTTTGACATCTATGTAATACCATGGATGAAACCTATTAGAACTGCATAGAATGAGAAAGATTGTCAAAGTTGTACCTAGATCTATTTATTTCTCCCAAGAAACCAAGGATTACATGGAACAGACAACCAAATGTCAAACAAATGGAAGAAATGCCGACATTCAGAATCAAAACACTATCACTAGACCTCCTGGCCACCAGCAGTCATATGAATCCCAAATATTTTTATTGACCACTCGAAACAAAAAAAATGTTTTAATCTTTAAACTGTTGGTATGAATCTGCAAACAGTAAGTCACTCAAGAGAAGCACAATTTTGTAAGAGACATCTCCTGTATGGAAAGAAGAGGAAGAGAAAAACGGTTTGGCGCAGAGTTGAATAACAGTGAGTGCACTGACGATTATCAGCAGCCCCCATATATTCATATTTCTGATTCTCTTGAATAAATTTTAACTTGACTATACACATGTGACTGCATATTGATAAAATCTATGCTTTGAGGTAGCTATAGTCTATGGGAAACCAGTCTGTAACTTTAATCTAAATGTAGTGTTTGTTTGTTTGTGGTTTACGTCCTATTAACAGCTATGGTCATTTGTGGACTTGCCAGGTTTTGGTGGTGGAGTTCCCAGAGAAAAACCACCGACCAACGGCCAGTACCTTAGGTCTCGACCCATGATCCAGTGGTAGAGGGCTAGTGCTAGCAAAATTGTCAGACGTCTTAACCACTTGGCCACCGTGGCCCTCTAAATGTAGTGGGCAGTGTTTGAGTGTGGCACAGTGGATAGCAAACTTGTCTTTCACCAAGACGGCAGGGTTGGATTCCTGGAATGGGTGTGAACAAGTATTGGGTCATCTGCCCAACCACTTCGGTTTTCTTCTGGTACTCCAGCTTTCTTCTTTGTTATGACTATTTGTGCAATTCCATCAAAGAAGGAAAAACTAGTAACACAATTGTTGTAAAATAGATAAAGTTTGCATTTAATGGATTTTGATGATCAGATTCAAACGTCTTACATTCATCATTGGGGAGTTGGGAAGAACACTGCCAAACTTGAACGGGGTTTTATGGGCATCAAGTTGTCCCTGTTGATACTTGGTAGAAGAGGGACCCTGACTTATGTTGGCATTTAGATTGGTTTTGTTGATCCAATAACAGGTTGACCCTCTTCCAGTACAAACTAGGTCAGTGGCTGGATTCGGAAATCTTCCCCATAGTAGTCAAACGCTTTTAGGTCCGATTTCTTACATAACATCTCTCGAATGAGATTATCATTAATCTGAAACAAATGAAAGAATTAAGAATTAAGGATTAACAACAAAAAATAGTTACAAAGCATTGCAAACACCTCTACTGTCAAATTTTCCTCACATAGTTCAAATTCATATGTTTACATGTACATGTACCTGGCAAGAAATTGTCAAATGAATGTCAAACTGTGTACGAACATTTCACTTAAGGGTCCCTTTTCCATTACAGGCATAACACTGGAGAATTCCACCTTAGGTTTTTGCACATACATGTACAGTGATCTTAATTTCATTTTGGATATAATCTGCAGTGTAACTGTATCAGGGTTCTACTGTGGACTGTTGCAGCACAGTTGGTTAAAGCTATAGTATAATGACTGAAAGACCTGATTTTGAATCCTGATATAGCAGTGTTGAATTTTTACACAAAGAATGCTGATGTTGGTTTTTGTTTATGTTTTTCTAGTTATTTTTTTTTATAAATGCTCTGCAAGGTATTGTTTTCTTTTCAGAAATGATATCAAAGCTATGGTCGTGATGGAAATATGAATAGTCACAGTGTCTAGCAGTGGTTTGTTTTGGTTTGTTTGTGTTTTACGTCATGGTCATTTAAGGATGTGCCAGGTTTTGGTAGTGGAGGCTACCAGAGAAAAAACACCTACCGAATCCGCGACCCAGTGGTGGAGGCCAAGTGGTAGCAGATTGTCAGACTTCTTTACTACTCGGCCAACATGGCCCCTCTCTCTCTCTGTGGTACTGTGATCCTAAGCAAACTTACTTTTTTGATTCCCTGGAGTTTGTTATAAGCATGATTTACTGTAATGAACCTGTTCCTCAGGTTCCCTATATGGTTCCTTTAAATGTCTGTTTTGTGTAAACTAATTTCTTAGATTCCCTTGGGGTTTATTATATTAAATGATTTTTATTCATATTGAACTTATTTCTCACAATGCCTGGGATTTTAACTGATGTTTTTTTTTTTAGGAATTTGGTATAAATGAGAAAGATGTTTTTGCTGTAGCGAAATTATTTCTCAGATTCCCTGAGGTTCTTACAATTATCAAATAAACAATTTCGTCACATAGTTGTACAGGTAAACAATACAAATCGCTCACTCAGTCATAGCGTGACAAAGGGACCAGTCAGTCTTGAAACGCTGCGATATGTTTAATACCTACATTTTTTGTGTGTTAAGTAAAACTTTGATATTTCTTACAAATATGTTTTACTACAGAGAACTTATTTCTCTTACAATTTCTTTGGGATTTGTCATAAATATATTTTTGTATTACATATCTAAGGTTCTTTGAAGTCCTTACGGTTTTTTGTGTGTGTGTAGAAAACTGATTTTGTATGTTTCCTGTTGTTCATCATAAGTATATTATAAAGTAATAATTTCTTAGGTTCCACGGGTTCAATATATACAAACATTTTGAATGCTGATGGTCGAACTCGCACTTCAATTTAGATTCACTACTCAAACTTCGTACAATGTATTTGATCTTTCTGAAATGTTGGTAAGGCAGGTTCGAACTACAACTAGACAGAAATTATTGTTTTCATTGTTCAAAATGTGCGTTCGACTTATCCGCCTATTCGAACTGACTGAAGCGTATACATGTCTTTATTACTTATTTCTCTGGTTCCCTTGGGTTCTTACAAATATGGTTACTGTTAGGTGCTTATTTTATAGGTTCCTTGTTAGGAAAATATTTTGCTTCAGAGACTTTAATTATCATATTTTCTTTGATTCTTTCATCATATTATTATAATTTTTTATTGTGGAGAACGTATTGCTCCTGTTTTCACAGCGTTATTATAAAATATATTCTTCTATATAACTTGTACGTCAGGTTCCCAAATCAGATTTCACTGGACAAATATAAATGGTCTTACCTTGTTACACTGTTGAAGGTCAAGTAAGGTCAGCTTCGGCATGCATTTTGGAATTCTATCAAAACATTTCCCAAAAATCTTGTGTAGTCCGACCAACTTCAGAGTTTCCAATGAGCTGTAAAAACAGAAATAATACAGAAACTTTTAAAATGCATAATTTTATTCCGTCGGTGATAATAGTATGTCTATATACTTTAAAGTAGAACAAAACCAACACTAGGTAAGTTACTTCAAAAGTATCTGAAATAACAACCAAAGAGCTATATATGTAGCTTTATTGCTCACCCCATTCTCCAAACGTCAGGGGTTACAATCACTTACATTCTCTGCACCCCTTCAATATGTCATGACAAAATTGACGGCACATAGGTGGCTACTTGAGTGGTTTCAGGTGAAAAAAACGAGCAATCTCTTCACTGATATCTGCCGTTTGTAGATTACAGAGGAGCAACACCGGACTTTAAAGCCAGTAATTTTTTCCGTTACTCTACTTGTAAATCTTTTGATGTACATCAAAAGATCAAACTGATCTACTTGTATCATCCACAAGGTGGCGTGACAGAGCCTTCAATTTGTCATGACATATTCCAGGGTTGCAGAGAGCATAAGCTAGCGTGACCACTGGAATTTCGTGGATGAGCCCACCTATTACATGAAGTCAAATACACGTTAATCTTATTAATCATTTTTCGTGGTTTGACTACACTGACCCCAGGTTGGGCCCCTTGGGGAACTTCCATGCCAATTTTCAGTGCAAATACTGAAGGTTATATCAATGAATCTCAACACTTCCTTTAAAACTTGAACCTAACAATGCCAACATCAATGCTGGCTGACTCACATAATTATATAACCATGTGATTTAAACTGGTATGATAACAAAATTAAAGGAAGGTGAAAAACATCAAACCTGCAGGTGTCTACGATTGCCGTGATAGATTCTTCCTGTAGACTGCAACACCAGCACAACTGCAGCTGCTGTAACTTCTTACCACAGCTGTAACAAAAAAATAGTTTTACTTAAAGATCCCTGTCCCACTGCACTGTCATTTTTCCTTTAAACAGTAACCTCCCTTTAACTTCTGTTTGGATAATATATACCTATAGTAACTGAAGCACATTTAGGCTAGTATACTTCTGTTGACCAGATAGCTCAATCGATTAAAGCAATAGTACAACAATCTGAAGTCCGGGGTTCGAATCCTGGTCTAACTCTGCAGATATTTTTACATTCAGAACACTCTTGTTTATGATATATTGTTTATGTCATCATTATTTGTTTTCATAGAAATCCCGCAAATCTTCACAGCAATAATTTATCAAGGCTATAGTCATGCCAGAAAAAAAGTTCCATTTTTTGACAGTGGTACAGGGTTCCTTAAAATCACATTGAAGTGATGCTAAAGGAAACTGAAATTAAATATATAAAAATAATAACATGAAATTTTGAACCGGCATGTGTAGGAAATATAAATCTTTGAATGCATGTAGAAATTAACAAGTTTAATATAGCAAGATATTGTCTGCACTTCGTTATTCAATTCAAATTGAAGGCGCAGTCATTACCCCATTAATTATGCAAGGAAATTGTACATACATGTACATTAATGCACTTCATTAAAATTACCTTTGTCAAGTTGTTGATATTCATATTTCTATTTGTATTCAACTACATCCACAAAATTCCATGGGTTAATTTACACTCACTTAGGTTCTCTGCACCCCTGGAATATGTCATGATGAAAAGTATGAATATCAACAACTTGACAAAGGTAAATTTAATGATGTACATCAAAAGAACTGCCTAGCAGGGTAATGATAAAACTGACTTGCTTTGAAGTTGGATGTCATCCTCTGTAATCTTCAGAGGCCATGTATCAGCCTTGTGATTGGTCTGAAACCAGTCAAATAGCTAACATTGTGCCTTCAATTTTGCCGTAACATATTCCAGGGTTGCAGAGAATGTAAATGAGCTTAACCCCTGGAACCATATGGATGCATCAGCTATCATAAAGAGCTTAGCAAAGATGTAGAAGCTCAAAGGAAGGGGGACTTTACCACTTGATGATTTGTAGTACAGCTGAGTCCCTCAAGTTACCACAATCAGACAGGTCCAACCTGGTCAAACTGGTCAGACCATCCGTGGAGAAGAGGTCAACCATCCCTTCATTGGTCAGTTCTGTCCCTTTCCTCAGAGACAGACATGTCAACTTTGTCATTTTCTGTTATATAAGGAAAGCAAATGGTCAACAGTAAAGCACTGGTCAATTCAGACATTCTAAAAGACATATCAGCTTGATTTGTTTCACCTTTAACCTAACATTCACCGCTAAAATTTCATAATGAACTATTCCAACCTTTGAATCAGAAGAGTTTAAATGTTTAAATGTGTCTTCAGATGTGAATGAGTTAAAAATGTAAACATTTTATAAGTAGACAGTATGCATAGATGGAAAGAAGACGGTGAAAGGAAGTAGGAGTACAATGAGGTAGGGAAAATATTTGTTTCTTACCTTTATGGCCTTCAGTGAGACATCAGTCAAGAGTTCACAGAAGGACACTGTCAGTCTCTCTACCCCGGGACAACTGGACACTGCTTCAATGGACTGGTCAGTCAGCTCAGCCCCATCAATGTCCAGCCACTTCAGGTGTTCACAATGATGCTCGACCAGAGTCAGAATACTCCTTGAGAACAATTATGGATAGAGAATACAATATATTAACAGGACCATGAAGCTTAATGCATATATATTGTTTTTTAAAGTTTATATTCAGAACTAGAGATTTATTGCAGGAGTCATCAGGGGATTTATTTGTAGTATTTGAAAACCTGAAGTGCAAAATGTTGTAGAATAATTATTATCAATGTGGTTAAACATTTACTCCAACAGGTTATATCCTCTGCAGATAATGGAAGACGGACAACTCTCATCTCACTTGCCTATATATACAGGTCATTAAATGCAATTTTCTACAACTCTTTATAGTTGTCATTATACAGTTATAAAATGCAATATGATGCCCTTCATTATATTTACCATCTTCTCAACATAAATTGATGACCACTTTTCCCAACAGTTCCTTTGTATATGCCCCTCTATATATTACAAAACCCCGTTTATAATGTCAATACTTGACTGGACCAATGATGTCATTAAAACAAGGTTTATTTTATAATGATGACAGTATACCAAGGTTTTATTGTATATTATTAGAACAAAACTTACTTATCACTTATCCTTTCAATGCCATCGATATTGAGGGAGACAATCTGTGAAAGATTCTTGGCCAAGTGACTCACACCAGCATCTGTTATGATACAGTGAGAAAAATTCAAATGTTTCAGTTTTTTTGCCTTAGCTAGTACCTCACAGCATTCATCAGCTACCAGGTGACAGCCTTCAACATTGATTCTTTCTAAATGTTGGCAGTTGAGAATGAAATACTTAAGTTCATCAGCAGAACAGGTACTGCAGAACCCTAAGTCAACAACTGTCACCAAGGGACAGAACTGTGTAAACACAGACACTTCTGAGACATTAAGAAACTGTCGGTTCTGGAGGAGAAGTTTTCGAATACATCCAAGGCGTTTGATTATCGAGCACAGATTCACTGATGACAAATGTGGGTTCCAATTAAGGTCAAGAACAGTCCACAAACTAGCATGGTATGCCAGCTTGCGCCATCGCTTACAAACAGGAGAAATTCGTCTACATAAATCCAGAGTCTCAAAATAAGAAAATATTTTTAATATAATCTCATTTGGGATAAAATCAAAATGTGTGCAGTATGTTTCATTCATGATTGTCTCTTCTTGACATGAGAAATGGAAGTCTATCACAGCTGAGCTGATTCTACTACTTATATCTTTGATGTCATTTTCGACAACAGACACTAAGTGTGTATAATCCACCTCCTCTTCAGTTTCTTTTATTATTGGAGCACCTGCTTTCTTTTTTTCATGATGACTATTCAAGTCCCTCAGACTAAAATCTGTAGAAGACACACTATCTGCAGATGAATCTGTCATGGCTGAGCTATAAACACCATCTGTAAGTAATCTGACATGGATGTCTTCTTCTTTAGCATCCCTTCGGCAAGATTCTTCCTGAGTGGGTACATTCCCATTGTCTGATTCATTATCTGCCTGCATTCTAGCTAGAAATCGAAGCACACAAATATGCCTGTTGTCATGCTGGATCATGACAACTGGTCACATGGTCAAGTACATTATCAACTTTGGATCAAAATGTATGTTGTTCATTAATTGACTGATTGATTCAACATGCAAATGTAAATAATTCTATGTAATAAGGCTATTTTTGATCATCCAATAGAGATAAACAATGTTAATTCAATCAAATAACTCAAAATATTTTAAGTTCTGACAAGTCTTGAAAGTTACATACTGTTTATATTAATGTCAACTGTCACATAAAAATGTGATAGCCTATCAGCCGACGTTATATTTATCAGAAATCGTAATAATTTACCTTACCTTTTAAATCATTTTCACTTGTCAATCTACTGGATATGTCGGTCACATAATCAACTGATAACTAAAACTATTTATCAGTCCTCTCTTCATGATAGTGACCGCACTTTCGATAACCCTAGTTTTGACATAAACGTCAATTCATACAACCACATTTGTTTACCAGTCCACGGAAGATATAATCATACACTAAAATAAAGAAATGTTCGGACTCATTTATCCGGAATTTGACAATTTTATTTTTTATTTCTTTGACCCACTTGCAAATGCAAATGTCTGAATCATATAAAAGCTGGATCTTCGTAACATCAATAATGTACTCCTGGAATACGACGTCTTGTTAAAGAACAATAAAAGAAAAGAAATAATAAAATTAATTAATTAATATCTGATAAACCGGAATTAATGTCAGAGTTATCCGTCCCTGCTTTGAGTCACACATTGTTTTAAAATGGCTGCCGCGACAACACTCGATAGGGCGAACGAGATACTCGATGACGAAGCTCTTGCCGAAGAGGTAATCTGTATTTTGAAGTTGATTGTATTCTGATATATATAGTTCACGTTATCCCATTGATCGGTGAAAAATACACGAATTCAATTGAAAAGAGTTAAAAAACCGCTAAACGATTCAGGTGTTTGGGAACATAAAATGTTCAATGTTGACAATCGTTTCAACATGTTTTGACGGGCAGGCCTTTGAAACGATCAACGTTCTGTTTTAAGATTTTTGTTGTGTAATTTACAAGAAGAAAAGTCCGAGGATACCTTTGTCTTGTTTTTAAGTATGAAATTAATAAAACAACAATCCCCACTGATACAACTGAATCATCTAGTGCATAATATAGATGTTAACGTTACTATTGTACGTCTTTCAGAAACTTCTCGAAGAGCTAGAAAATGAAGAAATTCCTTCCCATTTACGAGAGGCCCGACTGCAGAGTCTGAAGAATGAGGCTGACCAGTTTAAAATGATGAAAGAGAAAAGTCATGGCGTGTACACGTAAGTAAATTAATTACTAAAATTCTAAACAACATCCATAAAAGAGTGTTTGTTTTGCTATGGCAGTACTAGTTATGTTTGAGTTCAGAATGATATAACTTTCTAAACACAAATCTCAAATCATAACATACATCTATGTCAGTTACTAGCTTATTCTTGTGTAACTACATATATATATTTGGTTTGTCTCAAACACAAATACCCATATCACGAGCGAGAAAAACGTGCATAATTAAATTGCACGTTCACGAAACTCGGAAAGGTACATATATATATATATATGGTCTTAAATATGGTCATAAAACTCTTAGATATATAAATATAAGATCAGGATTTTAAACTTTAAAGTGGCCATGAATGTGCCATGTCGAAGTCTGACAGATTAAAGTTAAAATGTTTTGATATGATTTTATGATTTCAGTGAGATCATGGAAGAGAAGCAATTTTTGGACACAACAACAAGTGAAGATAGATGTGTGGTTCATTTCTTCCACGCTGACTTCAGACGATGTGCAATAATGGACACACATTTAGAGGTTACTACTTACTTACACTTCGTCATTATCCATATATGCATTATTTCCTGACAGTCGTATGCTAAACCAAATCTGGCTTCTTTGCAAAAAGATTGTTTGATTATTTCCCAAGTGATTGATCTTCATTTCTAATTTATTTGGTTCTTGTTACAGATTGGTTTTAGTCCCTTAAAGAGACACCATGTCTTTCTGTCCATCTCTACTTTGCACATTAAAAAGTCACCTGAAAGTTGGTGGTAATCATTTGTCTGTGCCGAGAAACAGAATTAATTTACTCAAGAAGGGACTGAGAAGTAGTGCTATAAAGGACTGAAGGCAAAGCCCTCAAATGACATCCTCTCTTAACTTACTTGAAGTTAAAATCTACTCAACAGTACAATGTGTCTTTCATTTCATTGCTTCACTTAGGTGACCTTTAAGTCCCATGGGCCTCTTGTCTTAGTTAAATTTTAAGTAACATAAAATGTACTCCCCCTAAGCATTGGCCCGAACGGAAAGGTACAACCATGCATTAGATCAACAACCTTGATAAAATCTGGATGACATTTCATACACATAGTACTTAAGTGTTAGTCGTAGACTATAATTATTGATTTGTTGAATATGCGAAGATAAAGGTAAATTGTTACTTTATTACTTAATATCTATAATGTTTGTCATTGCTCTGCCACGTTCAATTTTACTTCAATCAAGATTCTGATGAACCATGACACAACTGTTATGCCTTTGACAAAATTTCTGAACCTGAAAAGTCATATGGATTGAGTTCAAAATGAAATTTGAAATATTTACATCTCTCCTTCTTCAGCTTAGTAAACTCCGACTACATATAAATCAGCGTATATATAATGAAAAAAGGCTCGGCGGATTGATATCTGTTTCAAATATGGCGCCGTTCACGGTTCAACCGATACATGTTCAATGATAGCCATTGTTTGGTTCCTTCAAAATCTACAAACATGGAACATATTTTGGATCCATTATGTCTGATTATACAACATAGGGATGCTGGCTAACTTCTTATTCCATGTGTGCACATTCAAAATTATTTGATGGTAAAGCAAACAATAGCAGCTTTCTTTTGCGTCGTTCAACCGCGTCACTACCAGAAAAGTGTGCAATACATGTATATACTACCGTTATAAATATATAATAATGTTCGAAGTGCTACTAATATTACTTAATTAAAAATGTACAAGCAATGAAAAGGAGAAAAATCATGTTGTTCACTGCATATTTTCTAAATTTACCAATATATCGATGTACCAACCACAGCTACCGTAGTTACCATCATAGCAACCCACTTCAACAGTATTTATGATGTAAATATAAAGATTTACCTTCATTTTGACAGCGTATACGGTAGTATGAATGCAGTTGGCAAAGAAAATATTCTTTATGGAGCACTAATGTGCACCAAAGAATATGTTTGTTGCCAACTGCATTCATACAACTGTATACGCCGTCAAAAAACATTTATGTCTTACCAGGTACAGACTGTCATGATAATTTGTCAAGTAGAATTTTTCCACATACTCATGATATTTTTCTTCTCCTTTTTTTCACAGAAATTATCAAAGATATATTTCGAAACAAAGTTTGCAAAGATCAATGTTGATCATGCCAAATTCTTTGTGGAAAAACTTAAGATCCGAATGTTGCCAGCCCTTATATGCTTCAACAAAGGCATTGTATGCGACAGGTGAGTTGACACATATTTTCCTATATATATTTACCAGTCTATTGCACTGCCACAATGCCATGGCCAACATGGTGATGTCATAATTTTAACGTTGGATACCACTGACCCTTCCTTGGAAGATGGCTGTTCTATAAATTAAACAAGAATATACATTATTACACATTTTTTTAGCTAAATGCTTTAAGAAATTAATTTTCTATGAAAGTAATCATTTTTTTTTTTTTATAAATATTGAGCAGCTTTCAGTTGGTATTGATAGTCAATATGAATGCAAATTAAAATGGTACAAGACACATAATGTCATTAATGACAAATCACTGGGACATTTCATAGAATTTGGCATATTCCAGTTGGTATTCATAATGACTATGAATGCCAAATGATCAAGCAGTTCAAGTGCTTGAATAGATTCATTGCTGTAAAAGGTCTTCTGTTTTGTAAAGTTCATTTTTATTTAAATTCAACTTGAAGATTACTGTTTAACAGTTATTTTTAGGGTTTTGCTTTTATGCTTTTCTGGGTAGATGGTTATCACAAATAGAAAGAAGTATTCAGTACATGTACTATGATCTAAAATAAACCAGAGCTTTTAAATCTTTTTCTTGGCTTACGTCCCATATTTAATGTATCAATACACATTTCTCATGGTATTACACATGATTGCAAGGAGGTTGGGATCCAATGTTTCTTAAGTATCTTAATTTTCTTGGGGCATGAAATTCCATGAAAAGTATGCACAGACAATTTCAAACAGAAGGTACCTTTCACCCCCCACCCCCACTGGTTGGCAGTGTTATCTCCAGTTTAAAATATTTAATAGATACATTTGTACTTATTTATCTGTGGCAGAGTAATTGGGTTTGAGGACCTTGGAAACACAGACAGCTTCCAGACGATCGTACTGGAGAGGAGGCTGGGGAAATCAGGTCAGTATTAAATACTGAATTTAAAAAAAGAAGGAATAGCAAGATAGAAATTTTGTCAGCCTATGGACAAAGGAAGATAAGGAACTTAAAAGGCTTTCATTTGACCTTGATATTTTGGTAATTTTCTTAAAGTTTGGAAAGTCAAAACAGTTGTCAAACTCAGATAGGCAAGTTCATTAAAACCCAAGAGCCAAAGCTCAGTTTTAGGAATTTAGGCACACTTTTAAGGATCTACTGAAAGTACTTGAACTTTCGTTAGGCAATCCCTACAATCCATAATGGTGAATTTGAAATTGCAGTAATGAGTTGCCTTTCCTTGATTTTTATTTTTTTATTTACAGGAGTGATTGACGTACCAGAGGAGATCAACACAAAGAAATCTATATTTGGTCATAGTAAAACCCATGTAGACGACGACAGTAGTGATGACGATGATTAGATTTTTATTATTAAAAAAAAAGAAGAAATTTAAAATGCTTTGTTTTGATTTTGTAGTTTACTACAAGAGGCCCAATGGGCCTGAATCGCTCACCTGGTATTAATCTCACACTTGTTATCTTAAAAGTGGACTAAAATACAGCTACAGGCAGAATATCAGTGTTTGGTTCATAAGAGCCTAAAATGATACATGCTCTACTTTTTGTGATCTTTCAACATATGGTGTAAGTCACATACTTCAATTTAAGGCAGTGATTATTGTACAATATTTTTTCACGCAAGTCCAGAGCAATCATTTTCAAAATGTTGATCAATTCCATTATCATATTGAGAGATATAGTAGGTTCTGAAAATGTGGGCAAATCCCACGGGAAAAGAACGAGTCTAGGAATCAAATATGTGTTCCTAAAGTTATTTTCTGGATTCATTGTATATTCATAACCAACAATGTTTTGCAATTATTAGCATTAGTCAGTTCATCTTTAAATATGAAAAGGGATTTTGATGTGACTTATCATGGAGTTTCGCAAGATTAATAAGACTACATCTCCTGATCTAACAAGCATACTGAGTATTGCTAAAGCAATACATGTCTTATACCGGCCCCTGCTAGCTATTTCACTGTAATGATTTATGAAAATGGTGCCCTTTGGTGTCAATTTGGGAAAATAAAAAATATACAATTGGTTTGTAATTGATTAAAATGTAACAATAATACAAGAAATTGTAATATGACAGGAATTATATAAAATAAAATGATTGTTATATTTTCTTGCTTTTTGTGGTATTAAACCAATTACCAGCAAGGGTGATTAAGATACGTGAATATCATCACCAATGTGTAATAACGTGTTGATTGGCCAGTTTAATTTTGTTCATTATTGCCCTTTTAACAGTGTTACGGCCCCTTGAACTTGGAAGTTATATTTTGTCTGTAGGTATCCTAATATTTCTAACTCATAATGTTTACATGCTATTTCAAATATGTCCGAGATATTATGGTCCTTTGTAATTGTGGGAAGTTTAGAAGCTAGAGCGCCGATAAAGATTTTCTAAAAATAGTAACAGTGACCTTAACCTTACAACCCTGAAACGCTAAATTGTCCGAGGATATTGCGGTTTTTGTAATTGTGTGAAGTTTGATCAAAATCCCTCGAGGAATAAAGCTGCTAGAGTGCTGACATGGATTTTTCTAGAAATAGTAACGGTGACCTTGACCCGACAACCCTGAAACTCGGAACTTGTCTCAGATATTATGGTATTTTGTAATTGTATGAAGTTTGATCCAAATCCCTCAAGGAATGAAGCTGCTTGAGGGCTGACAAGGATTTTCTAAAAATAGTAACGGTGACCTTTACCTAACAACTCTGAAAATCGAACTTGTCAGGTATATTATGGTCCTTTGTGATTGTGTAAAGTTTGATTAAAATCCCCCAAGGAATGAAGCCGCTAGAGTGCTGACAAACATTGGTGTTACATACGTACGTACACAGACGAGAGAGAGGAAAACTATAGTCCCCCCGGTTTCACTGGTAGGGGACTTATAAGCGTATGTTGACAGAAATTAGTGATAATGATCAGTTTCCAGATATTTTTCGGATCATGTTAAAATCCAAGATGTTTTCTCTAGTGTCTGAATGTCTGGGACATTTTTGAAGTGTTTTAAATTTCGATCATTTTGATGACTTATTCCTTTCATAACCCTGACCAACTGCTGTTATTTTTTAAAGCAGGTTCATAATCCAATATGGTCACTTGTTTCCCGATTGTCTGAAATTTTTTTAACTTCTCAACTGCCCCATAGCACATTTTACCTAGTTGACCTTGAAATTAGATCAAGGTCATTCAAGTGAACCTCAATCCAAGAATAGTACATTGTACATTATTTAACAAATTTGACATGTGTGACCTTGGAAATAGGTCAAGATAATTAATTTGAACAAGCTTGATATCACTTCTCAAAATGCTTCATGTCTCTTAATTATTCAAATGTTGAAATTCAAACACATTTGACCTCAATTATCTTGAAAGTGGGTTAAGATAATTCATCAGGGTTATCAAGGTGTTTTGAAAAGTAGAACATACTTGACCCCTGTGACCTTTAATTTAAGTCAAGGTCATTTCTTTGAACAAAAAGAGATCTCCATCCCAGCATGCTGCAGGCCAAACATTACCCTATGCCTCTTGGTTGTTAATTTGAATACTTTGGACATATCTGAACCCTGTGACCTTAAAAGCGAGTGAATAATTTATTTGAACAAACTATTAATTTATTACAATTTTTTCCTAGGCCTCTTCATTTTTCAGAAAAATGTTGGAAGTACTGTATGCATCGTCGTTGATGATAACTTCATTTCTAGTATTCAAGAAGTGTTTTTATAGACTGTATCTCATCATCACCATTGTTTTACTACCATATGCATATCTAGATCTAGTCCTATCCACTTTGTTTTACAAGAGCTTGCCTGACCATACTCGTTGACGCTTCCGGCATTCCGTTCTGTTAAATAAGTTTGAAGTGAATTCACTGCAGTCTTTATGAAAGCTTTTGTATTTAAGCTACGTTTAGCGTCAAAATCTGCTATAACTCCTCTTTTAACAACAAAACGGCCTTCATTTTCACTGTTGTCATTTGGTTCTGAAAATGTGACGTCACGAGCGTCATGGAGAAGGCCCCGCCTACCAATGTTTTCATTGGTTGAAATCTTACACGCTCTGCCTACCAATGTTTTCATTGGTTGAAATCTTATAAGCTCCACCTACAAATATTCATGAGGGAGTAGTCCTTTTTTGCAGGGAGTAGTCCTAATTTTGGGAGGTAGTAGCTCTCAGATGGAGATATTTAAGTGATTTAAGGGAAATAGCAGATTTTATCGTATTGTTTTTATATAGGGAAAACTCAGTAGAGGTATAACAATATAAGCTATGAACCAGGTGAGCTAATAATAGTCTCCCATGGAAGCAAATGAAAACAGAGAAGTCATCCAACATGTTGGACCATATTTTATTGATAAATTGGTCATGTTTGACAACCTGGAATTATAAATAAGTGGTTTGAAATAGAGAATTGTATATAACATAACACCCAACAAAATATAGCACTTCAAGGGGGAAGTCAAGTTAGACATTCAATTCGAAGGCTCAGTGTGCGCCACCATGTGGATGTGACAAGAAGACTAGTTTGATCCTCTGATGTACATCAAACAAACTCAGTTGTGCAACAGTACAATTGTCTGACTTTGAAGTCAAATAGCTAGCAGCATGCCTTCAATTTTACTACGACATATTTCACGGGTGCAAAGTGCAAAAGTGAGCTTAACTCCTGGAGTATGGAGGCTGTGGTCTGGGTTGTATGACTGATACAACCTCCAACCATTAACTAGAATATGGAGGCTGTGGTCTGGGTTGTACGACTGATACAACAACCAACCATTAACTAGGATATGGAGGCTGTGGTCTGGGTTGTACAACCGATACAACCTCTAACCATTAACTAGGGTATGGAGGCTGTGGTCTGGGTTGTACGACCGATACAACCTCCAACAATTAACTAGGATATGGAGGCTGTGGTCTGGGTTGTAGGACTGATACAACCTCCAACCATTAACTAGGATATGGAGGCTGTGGTCTGGGTTGTACGACGGATAAACCTCTAACCATTAACTAGGATATGGAGGCTGTGGTTTGGGTTTTACGACTAATACAACCTCCAACCATTAACTAGGATATGGAAGCTTTGGTCTTGGTTGTAGAAAAAAACAAAATCTTTGAAATGTCTTATATTAACTTATTTTGCTTTGCACAATTACCCATTCTTTTCCAGGTCTTAATTTAATGAAGCATGCATTCCAATTGGTCCTAGCTATAGACTACAGGAATTTTTCAAAGCGTAAAATAATCTAGAGATCTGTTTACGAAAGAGAACACATCCCAGAAAGACTCGAAAGGTCGAGGCCTTACGGGGTTCAAAAAAGTTAGGGAACACATCTGGAGATATAGTCAATTAAAAAATCATTCTTTTTAGTTTTAATGTAAACATTTTCAGTCATTTTCTGAGTAAATAATAACCTTCATTCTCTGAGAGAGATTTTTTTCCTTCTAAGTTGGTGTCACTAGATAACAACGAACTAAGCATTTCTATATGATTATGAACCTCTACACCAGTAAACTTTCTGGTCCCATTACACACTTTCTACAAACCATACATCTACCTACATTCGAGGTACTTTTATTTAGTATATAATTCTAGTTATATTATACATAGACATTGTAAAAGATTTATTATGCATTAAAACATGTTTTTCTAAATAGACAGCAAATGAATGATTTTATATCTACCATTCATTGAATGATACATTTCACCAATGAAATTCTATTCTAAAATGAGTTCATATGTGATTAAAGAAAGATGGATCTGGCCTTGGTATCATGAAATTATCTTAGTCTGAAGTTTTTGCAAGCCATTCACGTATGACCTCACTTTTTATGACGTTATTTGTGACTGTTAAGTCAACAATTTTACACTTCAGATCATTTCATGATCTTGGGGCCAGAACATTGATAAATGCTTATACGCCATTGACATAAAATGTCCCTTGCAATTCTAGTATGACATAAAGATTTCTAATGACATAAAAAGCTGTTTCTTGGACAAGCAAAGGCAATGACAAAATACCATCAACCAAAATCTAATCGTGACTATTTAATATCTTTCTGACCAAGTTTTTACCCAATAAAGCAGTTTTTAATCGGTACATAAAATTATCACATTCAATATCATGAACAATCTAATCCCTGACAGCTTGAGACAGTTCTAAAATGTATCTGTAATTTGAATGTGCAGATACAAAAACATTATTGCAATATTATTTGTTACCCTTTTGAGCAGTTTTAAAAGTTTGACACTACAGCCAAACCCAGCTGTGACAGCTACAGACTATATGTTAGTTTGTACTAAACTACAGGCAACCAAGTTTCCCCAACATTAGGAAAATTGTCTATCGATATTTTAAATGAAATATAAAAGGATAGAGAAAACCCTTTCCCACTAATACTATACCTGAAGATGGAAAGTATTTCTATATCAATAATGTCTGAACTCTCTAAACTCAGAACTGTGACACAATCTCCGTCAATTTCTTACGTAATGATGTGAACAGCGAATGGCACATCACTGGATGATTGGACACTCTTTTTTCAGCTATCATACATATGTAAAAGTGGAGCCTACATTTTACATTGATTGCCTGAAGTCTACTCTAGACCTACTTGCATTTTGAGCAAAAGTGAAAACACAGACCTGAGTCTGTTGAAGTGACTAGATAAATAAATCTTGTGAAATCATACTCAGTCTTTCCAAGTAGAACTTAAGGTAGAGTCTCAGGGCTCCGTGTTGTATAACCTCCAACAAAGAAGAGTGCTAATTTGTTTGGCATTTTTGTGATTTTGAGTTGCTTGCCTATTTAATATACAGCAAAGAGTAAAATATGAAAGATACATCATAATTTTCTTTTTAACAATAAGCATGGCTCCATTGCTCCATCGCTCTATCAATTCATTTGAAAGAGAGATAAAAAAAGTCCTATGCTGGTATACAACAGATAAGTGGTGAGACTCCCTTACTTACAGCCATGATATGTTTATATCCTTACCATATCATCAAATGTCTGAGCTAATTATAGTGGCAATCTGTTTTACAGTGTATGATGTATATGAGTGTGAAAACATAAGCACGCCGACCATTAACTCCTATTATGTATAAACTATATTGCATGAGTTCACCTCCTCCATATGCACAATTGTGAAACTGAAATTCCACAGCTTTATGCTACAAGTGTGAAGTAAAATCTGTGTGTGATATAAGGAAATTTACACATCACAATATCAATGTTTTTAAAGTATTCAAAGTGAAACATACTATATCTAAAATGCTTGGATTTCATCTTAATAAAACAATGAAAATGTTCCGTCAAAAAACTCTTTCAAATAAATGTGCAATTTAGCCTTAACTGATGTGTGTACAAGTCTTATACGTGTATTTTAGTACATATATTTTACAGAATACATGTTAAATATGTAAATCTATGTGAAAAGATAAACAAACACAAAAAGAACCCACCTTAATATGGAAATTTCAAAATAGTAAATAATATTTAAAATCAAACTATATATTTTGAATATATCTGAAATTGCACGGTTAGTGAACACAAACTTCACACCTTTCCAAAGGATAAATATCTCAATAAACTTTGGTATAATATTGTATTAACAGGGGTAAGAAAAATCTCATGTCCAATAGCTTGCTGCACCCAAGTAAAAAAATTGTGTCTACTTGCCCGACAGAGCTGTGCAAAATTTTCTAGTACGGTAAGTATAACTGTATTCCCAGCATAAAGTTTCATTATTCATCAAATTCAAATTGACAGATGAAATAGTCTTGTTTCTGATTAAAAAAAAAAAGGCTAAGTCAAACTTTCGGCCTTAGCTGGTTAAATCCATATTTGCCCAGTGTTAATTTTGCTTTCTACATTTAATTACTATGTATATGGTGTTGTTTACTAATGTTTGTAGTAATAATAAATTTATGTCCATTAAGGAGGGCGAAAATTTAACTGCAACAAAAATGTCCTGGTATACAGTTATACATCTGTATATGCATGTTGTATACTGATATATTTCTTTTTCCACCAGGTACTCTTTCAAAACCACTTACCACAAAGACCAATGATTTTGAAAAATTTAAGCTTGCCCTTTAATTACATAATCAATTAAATTTATAATAGTTAAACAAAGACAAAATAAGTGAAGTAACTTTCTTGTAATGCATAAAGTATAAAGTGACCATTCATTAACTGAAGGTATTATAAACTACCTGTACATTTCTCATCTGTTCTAACCTGGGTTAATTATTTCAATCAGAGTTAACATAAAAAAATCATCTGTATCCATATAATTTAACTTGAAACAAAATTGAGAATATGTTTCCAATAGTATGATATAATACTAAGATCTGTAAACCCTATAAACAACATTGCTCTTGTATATAACGTGAAAAAAATACAGCAGAAATGATCATATGTAAACAGCAAAATCAGATCAGCAGTGAAGGAATGAGAGAAGACTTTCACTTTCTTCATTCCCACATTTAAATACGTAAATGATACTTAACTGAGTAAAAACTTAGTAGTTTATATAACAGTAACAGGTAACAATATTGCAGCTCCATTGTACAATGTGGTTCTCTCATGTATACCTTGGATGCACTAATGCTCCTCGTTTCAAACATCACAGCTACCTCCCAGCGAGTCCGTCCTTTGAAAATGTAAATGTTTCTCCGTATCATGTTATTTGTTTACAAACAATTACACATGTACTTGATATAGATTTCCAGGGTCACTTTCGTTTATCATGTTCCAAACTGTTTAACTAATTGGACCAAAGTTGTTCGTTTATAACATAGGAGCGGACCAAGTGATTGGATGTATTTTTTCTAGCAAACCTTAGGGAAGACTTTTAAGGCATGCTTTAACATTTGCAGTTCGTCAGGTTCTAACCTTGACATGTTACATTAAAAAAATAGACAAACAAGCTGGTCCGAAAAAACGAACAGGCCCTATCTGTCAGAAATCACCATTTCTTTTAAAAGTCAAAAAGACTTGATTTAGTTGTTCTCACAGACTGAATGTATTAGGCCATTTTTCTCGCAAAGGTGTCCGCAAAAATATTGCACGAGTATCTATATTATTGATTTCAAACAAATTGCATAATACATCGATACGTTTCCAAACTGATGAATCTTGTCCAAAAAACACTTCTCCTCTTTTAAAAATTTACAGATCTCAAACAAATACAGTTTTCACACAAGTGTATATACATTTACCTCTATCCTCTTTCTATCTCTCGATTGCCCTATCACATCCACAGTTGTCTCCCCTTTACCACAGGAGCTTTGTGTGACACACCAATAATGCTATCCACAGCAGTCGGAACCTTCTGCTTACGTCCCAATAATCATAATACATTCATTCACAATCACTATTGCACTTTTTGATAATAATAGAGTGATCATACATTATTCGTAAAAGTGAGAATCACAGCTGATTAAACAGTTTTAAACAAACGATTATCAACAACAGATCATTTCCACAGCAGCTGTAGCAGGACCTGACATATGACGACAGCAAGCACGACAAGAATGTCACGGTTCTGTACAAGAGCACTCGCCTGAGGCTGGTCTGTCCTCTTGCTCAGCGAAAACATTTGTTTTTGTAACAGCTGAACTGATTGGTTGGTTTCATTTTGCATGTCTACCAATGGCTGCAAGGCTCTCACAAGTGTCTCCTCCGATATTCGGCCCTTGTTGTTGGATGCTGCACGCTGAATTCGTCGAGCTGAAAACAACGACAGAGATAAAAAGGTAATCAACAAGTGGTTAATCAAATAATCCCAATTTTGTAAAACACAGAAAGATGTGAAAAGAGTAATTTCACATGCTTGAATTTCGTATACTTGCAAATGCAGCTCCCCTTTTCACAAGGGAGACTCCTGAGTTTGGACCCTTTAATTTAGTCTTTCAACCAGTGAATTTGCTACACTCTCCCTTTATTTTGATATACAATGAGTTCATCTTAAAGATTGACTCAAATATGTCATTTTAAAGGGTCATTTTGTCTCTATAGGGTATATTTTAAGCATACAAAAAGTTAGTAAGTATGAGGACTTTTGACAGGTTGAAATGACATGTGAATTAACCTTTATGAGGTTACAGTGGTATGTGGAATGACCTTTACAATGTCATAGTAATGTGTACTGACCTTTACAATGTCTTAGTAATGTGTACTGACCTTTACAAGGTAATATTAATGTGTGAACGCACCTTTAGTTAGATCATTGTCATAACGGTACCGACCAGTCTTGACAGCATTAACCTGTTCTGAGGTCTAGTGATAGGTGTACCAACCTTTAGTTTGGTCAGAAGAGTCACTGTTGTACCGACCAGTCTTACCAGTATTAACCTGTTCTGAGGTCTAGTGATAGGTGTACCAACCTTTAGTTTGGTCAGAAGAGTTACTGTTGTACTGACCGGTCTTACCCGTATTAACCTGTTCTGAGGTCTATTGATAGGTGTAGCGACCTTTAGTTTGGTCAGAAGAGTTACTGTTGTACCGACCAGTCTCACCAGTATTAACCTGTTCTGAGGTCTAGTGATAGGTGTACCAACCTTTAATTTGGTCAGAAGAGTCACTGTTGTACTGACCAGTCTTACCCGTATTAACCTGTTCTGAGGTCTATTGATAGGTGTAGCGACCTTTAGTTTGGTCAGAAGAGTTACTGTTGTACCGACCAGTCTCACCAGTATTAACCTGTTCTGAGGTCTAGTGATAGGTGTACCAACCTTTAGTTTGGTCAGAAGAGTTACGGTTGTACCGACCAGTCTCACCAGTATTGACCTGTTCTGAGGTCTAGTGATAGGTGTACCATCCTTTAGTTTGGTCAGAAGAGTCACTGTTGTAGTGACCAGTCTTACCCGTACTAACCTGTTCTGAGGTCTAGAGATAGGTGTACCAACCTTTAGTTTGGTCAGAAGAGTCACTGTTGTGTCGAGTGTCTATCTCTGGGGTTGAACTTTCACTCTCCTCTCCCACAATGCGTAGCCTCTTCACAGAGTTTCGGTGGATACAGGGTGCATGACGACCAACTGTGGCTACCGGCTGCTGCTCCAGACTAGCAATGCTACATGTACGGACAACAGGTGTCTTGTGACGTGTCCATGTTTGAATACAATAGCTTGACTCATACTGCAGTAGGTCATTACTGGGGTCCCACGGCCTCATACTACAATACACCAACCACAGCCATTAGTGTAACATAACATGAAGCAAACATTTTATTAATAATGATATCAGGTTTTAAGAGTTAACTTACTAAAAAACAGCAGAACATTTTTGCCACATTTAAACTTTCACTTTTTTTGCCTTCCTCAAAGAAGGCAAATCCATCATGACAGCAAATAACAGTTCACAACATACATAACATATAGTGATTACATGCAAGGGCAAAATTAACACTGGGCGAATACAGATTTTGCTGGTAAAAGGTGAATTTTTGACTTGGCAAACAATTTTCCGAATATACAGTATTTCATTTCAGCAGATGTCAACAATCAATCTAAACTTACTCTAAATGTTTATAGACCCAGTCTCCTGTCAGCAGATCCCGCTCAAATAAGTGAGGTACCCACTCCTCCATCTTTGCCTTGCGCTCACGTGCTTCTTTCCTCTGACGTTCCTCCAGTATAAACTTCTCTTGTGTAGCACAGGTCATGTCATTGACGACCACTGCATCACTCACATGCCTCCAAAGTCTGTTGATAAACAAACTAATGCCTCAGCAAAAAATTTACTTAGCAAATTAACTTTTCTTTAAATAATTTCTTTTACAATAAATGGTGAATTTTCAAAGAATCCAAGAAATATATAGACATGAGATATTTTAATAATGGGAGATTTTCTTAAACAGGAACAGAAACCAATCAGAGATTACTTTTATAATAACAATCCATCACATGTTTCAAACTCTATCAGCGGTCACATGACCTATGCCTGTTACTTAAAGATCTCTGTCCCACAGCCAGCAAACCACCCGATAATTCTACAAAATAATTAACACCTGAAACGATGTTATGCCAAGAAACCATCAAAAGTCTCACACATTGGAAAACCAAGTGAAGTGGATCTCCCACACTGGGCTCCTTAGAGGTTGTCAGCCCTGTGTAAACCTAGTGGAGGGAGATCTCCTACACTGGGCTCCTTAGAGGTTGGCAGTTGAGGGAGATCTCCCACACTGGGCTCCTTAGAGGTTGGCAGCCCTGTGTAAACCCAGTGGAGGGAGATCTCCCACACTGGGCTCGTTAGAGGTTGGCAGTGGAGGGAGATCTCCTACACTGGGCTCCTTAGGGGTTGGCAGTTGAGGGAGATCTCCCACACTGTGCTCCTTAGAGGTTGGCAGCGGAGGAAGGTATCCTACACTGGTCTCCTTAGAGCTTGGCAGCCCTGTGTAAACCCAGTGGAGGGATATCTCCCACACTGGGCTCCTTAGAGGTTAGCAGCTGATGGAGATCTCCCACACTTGGCTCCTAAAAGGTTGACAGCGGAGGGAGATCTCCCACACTGGGCTCCTTTGAGGTTGGCAATGAGTGGAGGGTGATCTACTACACTTGGCTCCTTAGAGGTTGAAAGCGGAGGGAGATCTCCCACACTGGGCTCCTTAGTTATTGGCAATGGAAGGAGATCTCCTACACTGGGCTCGTTAGAGGTTGGCAGTGGAGGGAGATCTCCTACACTGGGCTCCTAAGAGGTTGGCAGCCCTGTGTAAACCCAGTGGAGGGAGATCTCCCACACTGGGCTCGTTAGAGGTTGGCAGTGGAGGGAGATCTCTTACACTGGGCTCCTTAGAGGTTAGCAGCCCTGTGTAAACCCAGTGGAGGGAGATCTCCCACACTGGGCTCGTTAGAGGGTGGCAGTGGAGGGAGATCTCTTACACTGGGCTCCTTAGAGGTTAGCAGCCCTGTGTAAACCCAGTGGAGGGAGATCTCCTACACTGGGCTCCTTAGAGGTTGGCAGCCCTGTGTAATCCCAGTGGAGGGAGATCTCCCACACTTGGCTCGTTAGAGGTTGGCAGCAGAGAGAGATCTCCTACACTGGGCTCCTAAGAGGTTAGCAGCCCTTTGTAAACCCAGTGGACGGAGATCTCCCACACTGGGCTCGTTAGAGGTTGGCTGTGGAGGGAGATCTCCCACACTGGGCTCCTTAGAGGTTGGCAGTGGAGGAAGGTCTCCTACACTGGTCTCCTTAGAGCTTGGAAGCCCTGTGTAAACCCAGTGGAGGGAGATCTCCCACACTGGGCTCTTTAGAGGTTGGCAGCGGAGGAAGGTCTCCTACACTGGACTCCTTTGAGCTTGGCAACACTGTGTAAACCCAGTGGAGGGCATTCTACCACACTGGGCTCCTTAGAGGTTGGCAGTGGAGGGAGATCTCCCACCCTGGGCTCCTTAGAGGTTGGCAGCGGAGGAAGGTCTCCGACACTGGACTCCTTTGAGCTTGGCAGCACTGTGTAATCCCAGTGGAGGGCATTCTACCACACTGTTCTCCTTAGAGGTTGGCAGTGGAGGAAGGTCTCCTACACTGGTCTCCTTAGAGGTTGTCAGCCCTGTGTAAACCCAGTGGAGGGAGATCTCCTACACTGGGCTCCTTAGAGGTTGACAGCAGAGGGAGATCTCCCACACTGGGCTCCTTAGAGGTTGGTAATGAGTGGAGGGAGATCTCCTACACTGGGCTCCTTAGAGGTCGGCAATGAGTGGAGGGAGATCTCCTACACTTGGCTCCTTAGAGGTTGACAGCGGAGGAAGATCTCCCACACTGGGCTCCTTAGAGGTTGGCAATGAGTGGAAGGAGATCTCCTACACTTGGCTCCTTAGAGGTTGACAGCGGAGGAAGATCTCCCACACTGGGCTCCTTAGAGGTCGGCAATGAGTGGAGGGAGATCTCCTACACTTGGCTCCTTAGAGGTTGACAGCGGAGGAAGATCTCCCACACTGGGCTCCTTAGAGGTTGGCAATGAGTGGAAGGAGATCTCCTACACTTGGCTCCTTAGAGGTTGACAGCGGAGGAAGATCTCCCACACTGGGCTCCTTAGAGGTTGGCAATGAGTGGAGGAAGGTCTCCTACACTGGACTCCTTAGAGCTTGGCAACACTGTGTAAACCCAGTGGAGGGCATTCTACCACACTGGGCTCCTTAGAGGTTGACAGCGGAGGAAGATCTCCCACACTGGGCTCCTTAGAGGTTGGCAATGAGTGGAGGAAGGTCTCCTACACTGGACTCCTTAGAGCTTGGCAACACTGTGTAAACCCAGTGGAGGGCATTCTACCACACTGGGCTCCTTAGAGGTTGACAGCGGAGGAAGATCTCCCACACTGGGCTCCTTAGAGGTTGGCAATGAGTGGAGGAAGGTCTCCTACACTGGACTCCTTAGAGCTTGGCAACATTGTGTAAACCCAGTGGAGGGCATTCTACCACACTGGGCTCCTTAGAGGTTGGCAGCTGAGGGAGATCTCCTACGTATACACCGGGCTTCTAAGAGGTTGGCAGCCCTGTGGAAACCCAGTCGAGGGAAATCTCCCACACTGGGCTCCTTAGTTGTTGGCAATGGAAGGAGATCTCCTACACTGGGCTCCTTAGAGGTTGGCAGCCCTGTGTAAACCCAATGGAGGGAGATCTCCCACACTGGGCTCGTTAGAGGTTGGCAGTGGAGGGAGATCTCTTACACTGGGCTCCTAAGAGGTTAGCAGCCCTGTGTAAACCCAGTGGACGGAGATCTCCCACATGTGTAAACCCAATGGAGGGAGATCTCCCACACTGGGCTACTCTTGGCACCTTTGAGGTTGGCAGTGGAGGGAGATCTCCCACACTGGGCTCCTTAGAGGTTGGCAGCCCTGTGTAAACCCAGTGGAGGGAGATCTCCTACACTTGGCTCGTTGGAGGTTGGCAGCAGAGAGAGATCTCCTACACTGGGCTCCTTAGAGGTTGGCAGCCCCTTGTAAACTCAGTGTAGGGAGATCTCCAACACTGGGCTCATTAGAGGTTGGCAGTGGAGGGAGATCTCCCACTCTTGGCACCTTTGAGGTTGGCAGTGGAGGGAGATCTCCCACACTTGGATCCTTAGAGGTTGACAGCAGAGGGAGATCTCCCACACTGGGCTCCTTAGAGGTTGGCAGCGGAGGGAGATCTCCTACACGGGTCTCCTTAGAGGTTGGCAGCGGAGGAAGGACTCCTACACTGGACTCCTTAGAGCTTGGCAACACTGTGTAAACCCAGTGGAGGGCATTCTTCCACACTGGGCTCCTTAGATGTTGGCAATGAGTGGAGGGAGATCTCCTACACGGGGCTCCTTAGAGGTTGGCAGCGGAGGAAGGTCTCCTACACTGGACTCCTTAGAGCTTGGCAACACTGTGTAAACCCAGTGGAGGGCATTCTACCACACTGGGCTCCTTAGAGGTTGGCAGTGGAGGGAGATCTCCTACGTATACACTGGGCTCCTAAGAGGTTGGCAACCCTGTGTAAACCCAGTGGAGGGAGATCTCCCACACTGGGCTTATAAGAGGTTGGCAGCCCTGTATAAACCCAGCGAAGGTAGATCTCCTACACTGGACTCCTTTGAGGTTGGCAGCCCCGTGTAAACCCAGTCGAGGGAAATCTCCCACACTGGGCTCCTTAGAGGTTGGCAGCGGAGGGAGATCTCCTACACTGGGCTCCTTAGAGGTTGGCAGCCCTGTGGAAACCCAGTCGAGGGAAATCTCCCACACTGGGCTCCTTAGTTGTTGGCAATGGAAGGAGATCTCCTACACTGGGCTCATTAGAGGTTGGCAGTGGAGGGAGATCTCCTACACTGGGCTCCTTAGAGGTTGGCAGCCCTGTGTAAACCCAATGGAGGGAGATCTCCCACACTGGGCTCGTTAGAGGTTGGCAGTGGAGGGAAATCTCTTACACTGGGCTCCTAAGAGGTTAGTAGCCCTGTGTAAACCCAATGGAGGGAGATCTCCCACACTGGGCTCATTAGAGGTTGGCAGTGGAGGGAGATCTCCCACACTGGGCTCCTTAGAGGTTGGCAGCGGAGGGAGATCTCCTACACTGGGCTCCTTAGAGGTTGGCAGCCCTGTGTAAACCCAGTGGAGGGAGATCTCCCACACACTTTGCTCGTTAGAGGTTGGCAGCAGAGAGAGATCTCCTACACTGGGCTCCTTAGAGGTTGGCAGCCCCTTGTAAACTCAGTATAGGGAGATCTCCAACACTGGGCTCATTAGAGGTTGGCAGTGGAGGGAGATCTCCCACTCTTGGCACCTTTGAGGTTGGCAGTGGAGGGAGATCTCCCGCACTTGGATCCTTAGAGGTTGACAGCGGAGGGAGATCTCCCACACTGGGCTCCTTAGAGGTTGGTAATGAGTGGAGGGAGATCTCCTACACTTGGCTCCTTAGAGGTTGACAGCGGAGGAAAATCTCCCACACTGGGCTCCTTAGAGGTTGGTAATGAGTGGAGGGAGATCTCATACACTGGGCTCCTTAGAGGTTGGCAATGAGTGGAGGGAGATCTCCTACACGGGGCTCCTTAGAGCTTGGCAGTGGAGGGAAATCTCCCACACTGGGCTTCTAAGAGGTTGGCAGCCCTGTATAAACCCAGCGAAGGTAGATCTCCTACACTGGACTCCTTAGAGCTTGGCAACACTGTGTAAACCCAGTGGAGGGAAATCTCCCACACTGGGCTCCTTAGAGGTTGGCAGTGGAGGAAGATCTCCTAAGTATACACTGGGCTCCTAAGAGGTTGGCAACACTATGTAAAACCAGTGGAGCAAAATCTCCCACACTGGGCTCCTAAGAGGGTGGCAACACTGTGTAAAACCAGTGGAGGGCAATCTCCCACACTGGGCTCCTAAGAGCTTGGCAGTCCTGTGTAAAACCAGTGGAGGGAAATCTCCCACACTGGGCTCCTAAGAGCTTGGCAGTCCTGTGTAAAACCAGTGGAGGGAAATCTCCCACACTGGGCTCCTTAGAGGTTGGCAGCCCCGTGTAAACCCAGTCGAGAGAAATCTCCCACACTGGGCTCCTTAGAGGTTGCTTTGAGGTTGGCAGTGGAGGGAGATCTCCCACACTGGGCTCCTTAGAGGTTGGCAGTGGAGGGAGATCTCCCACACTGGGCTCCTTAGAGGTTGGCAGCCCTGTGGAAACCCAGTGGAGGGAGATCTCCTACACTGGGCTCCTTAGAGGTTGGCAGCCCCGTGTAAACCCAGTCGAGGGAAATCTCCCACACTGGGCTCCTTAGAGGTTGGCAGCCCTGTGTAAACCCAGTGGAGGGAGATCTCCCACACTGGGCTTCTAAGAGGTTTGCAGCCCTGTGTAAACCCAGTGGAGGGAGATCTCCCAACACTGGGCTGCTTAGAGGTTGGCAGTGGAGGGAGATCTCCTTCACTGGGCTCCTTAGAGGTTGGCAGCCCTGCTTTACTTTGTTGCGGGTCTGTTATATAACTGCAGCATGGCTGGGCTGCATCTGATGACCAGGTACCTCAGTTGTTTAGAACTAATGTATAATGGTCAGAGGTTCTTGGATTGAATACTGTTTTGGCCTGTTGCATTTTCACACACAAAACACAGTTGTTGGTTATTTTTGGAACACAATCATTTTTGTTAATTTTATCTTACTGATTTTTTTTTAAAACTTCTGCAAGGTATGGATTTCTTTTCAGAAAGGATTTACCAAAGTTAGGGTCATGTCCAGAAAAATATTTCCAATGAGTAGTTAGTTCTTTGGCAGTGTTACAGGGACCCTTAAGGCGGATCTCAATTCAAAGTCAGCAGAAAGTTGAAACTTGTACTTACAGGAGTCTAAATATATTTCAGACACAAATACCATACTATAATGAGTAGACATCTCTAGACATGATATCATTCAACAACTTGCCTCTCTGATTCCATGTCTGCTTGTGATTCCACAGGAACTGTGTAGCGCAGTAGTCTCTGACTTTTCACCTCTGATGTTGGGCTCCAGAACAGTTCAGATTCCTAAAATAACAACAAAATAATTATCACTCAGGAAACAAGAGGCCCATGGGCCTAAATGGTCACCTGGGTAAATTCTGAAGTACTCCAATTGCATAGCATTCTGATTTTTTTTGAATTGGTACATAGCTAGTTTGGAGAGAGGGCATACACCCATACTAACCTGGAGACCAGGCATACAAATGCATGCTGTATAGATGAATTAAATGAAACGTTTTATGGATTATGTACAGATTAAGTTGTAAATGTCCTAGCCAATCACAGGCCAGGATGGCAATCTGCAATTTTACAAGCAGCATGAAAAGTACTAACCTCATAAGGAACACTTCTACTAAGTTAAAAGTCAATCAGTGTAGCTTTCCTTGAGAAGAAGTCAAAAACATCTCAGTCAATGAGAAGTCAGGGTGACCATCTTGTATTTTCTGATTGGCACAAAAAGTAAGAACACTTGTTCGTAACCTCATAAGAAACATTTGTTCAAATAAAGAAGCGAATTGCTGCAGATAATCTTGAGAAGTCGAACATTTCTCGTCTCAGCAAATTAGAGGCCAGGATCTGCCATCTTGTATTCTCCGATTGGCAGTAACTCTGCCAGTTACTGTCTGACCAGGCCCATTTGCAAACTTGTCTGAGATCTTATTGATATAAAGAAGTATAGCAAAATTCATTGAAATCCATTCGCAATTACTCAATGTATTGTGCTCACAAGCTCAAGTCCCATATGCTCCAAAAGTAATTAAAATATCAAAGTCCCATAACTCTGCCAGTTACTGTCTGATCATATGATCAGGACCATTTTAAAACTTGTCCGAGATCTTATGGATATAAAGCAGCATAGCAAAATTCACCAAAACCAAATCACTTTTACTTAAGTTATCTTGCTCACAAGATAAAAGTTAACGCACGACGTCAAACACTGATGCCAACAGGTCACCATGACCTATGGTCAGATGACCTTAAAGGACATCCTGACATGGTCATTTGCAAATGATAAGTTTTTTCAGATGTGCTTAAACATCCAAGTCTTTGGCTTGATCAGAAATTAATTTCTGCTTTTCTATCTTGGCTTTCATGTTGTTATCCAGATAATGTCTTATAAGCAAATGATTCACTCATATTTCTACTACAGCCAAACCTCCTCATATAACCACCTTTGTTTAGAGACTACAGCCAACCCTCCTCATATAACCACCTTCGTTTAGAGACTACAGCCAACCCTCCTCATAAAACCACCTTTGTTTAGAGACTACAGCCAAACCTCCTCATATAACCACCTTTGTTTAGAGACTTCCTGTGGTAAGAGATCATTTTTGATGTTCCCCATTTCTGCGATTCGAAATGAACCAGTATCAAGAGACCACCTGTGTTAAGAGACCATTGAGACCACCTGTGTTAAGAGACCATTGAGACCACCTGTGTTAAGAGACCATTTTTTTTATATTTTCCAGTTTTGTGATTTGAACTGAACCTTTATTAAGAGACAACCTGTGTATAGAGACCACTGTTAAAGTTCCCCATTTCTGTGATTGGAAAAGAACTTGTCTTATATTTTAAGAGACCACCTGTATTAAGAAACCACTTTTAATGTTCCCCAGTTTTATGATTTGAAACAAGTTTTGTGATTTGAAATGAACCTGTATCAAGAGACCACCTGTGCTTAGAGAGCACTTTTCAAACTTCTAAATTTGACTGTACAGTCATTGCATTGAAACTTCTATATACTGACCGACGAGCCTTTCTCTTTGAGAAACACTTCCTGGTCCCAGTGACCTTCTATATGGGACAAGGTGTCTGAACCCATCTTGATCTTCCCTGAAATTCTGTTAGACGCTGCGCCACTTCCTAGGAAAGGCTGAAAACCAGAAGCATGGAAAGTGTGGCAAATGGTCTAGCGTTAATAAAGGGTAAAAGTGACGCTTTTTTATAGAAATTGTATATCCATTTTAAAAACCAGTATCGATTATCTGGAATCTTATTTTTTTCAAAAAGGAAAAATTGTGTGTACTCTTATCTAAGGTTATCTTTGAATTGAGAATGTTGTATAAAACTACTCCTGTCAACTTTATTGACCATATGTTCTAGCACTAGGTTCTTTGAAAGTAAGCCTTTAATAGCAACTTCATGACCTTAATTTCTGTATAGTTTATTGTGTGACATCCATATTTTTGTGTACTTTGTGAAACTGTCCTGCAAGATTTTAAAGAAATTGTTTGTCAAGTCTTGCCCAGTTTCATTCACAAACCTAAATCTACTGATCTCTAGCAATATAAAAGCTTGCAAAAATAAGATCATACACTCGATTGTTTCTACCATGACTAGTGGTATAATGAAGATTCACCTTGAGTTTAAATTCCATCTCACATCTGTATCCCGTCTTTGGACAGTCGATGGCCACCTTGCCACCCATCTCCATAGTGAGTGTCCCGATAAGGATTCCTAACAACAGTAAAACAATAATCATCAGAGTAACACATTATCTCACTGAAGTCTTGGTCAATATCTGGGAGTCAGTGGTCAGTGTCATTGCTGTCTGGGTCATTACTTGGTCAGTATAAAATGATACATTGTTATGTACACCTTTTTTTCATTGAAGCCTTTCTTATAGGTATTTAATGGAATTTTGCTTGAATATTTACCATGAAGCTTCAAGGAAAACATGTATGTAACAACTTGTGTTTACACTGGGATGACAACTTCAAAAAGGAAATGCACGGTTATATATTCTAAGTATAAATTCTTGTAAGCAATCAGACATCAATGTAATGAAAGGGTTATCTACTTATTGATGGTACATGTATTGAGGAAACAGCACTCCAACAATCTTAGTCACATGAGTGATTTTTCCAAAGTATTCAGTGTTATTTGAAGCAGATGACAAATATATTGACAAACAGGAAACTGTCATCACAACCAAACCACCAAATAGTCTATCATAAATAACCAAAACATAACCCGCTTCCCTATCAACATCTTAGATACCAGGTACTCCAGGGTTTACCCTCACTTATGCTCTCTGCACCCCTGGAATATGTCAAAGCAGCAAGAGGCCCATGGGCTTCTTTGGCTCACCTGGATATCTAAGCAATCATGGCAAAATATTCTCCAAATGAGATCCAAGGGAATATGCCAGACCCCAAGGCCAATCCTTATAACATATCTTCATTAGATTTTTCATGCCTAGCAACTTTATGTATGGTTATGGGGTGGGGACCTCAACTGTTTCCAAGCTGTGACTCAGAAACTAAGTCCCTACGGTTGTTGCCAGACCCCAGGATCAATTCAAATATCATGGCTGTATTTGTCTCTTTTTGTCCAGCATTTGTATATCATAATAGTTTTGGGGTGAGGATCTAAACCGTTTCAAAGTTATTCCCAGGGGTTAAGTTTGCAAGGGTGGGGCAAACCCTGGGGTCAATTCTTATATCATGACTGCATTCGTCTCTTTATACCCAACAATTGTATATATTGTTTTGGGGTGGGGATCTTAACCATTTCAAAGTTATGACCCAGGAGTTAAGTCTCCAAGGGTGGGGCAGTTCCCAAGGTCATCCTGAAAGCATATGTGCATTCATCCCTTTCCAGTGAGCTAAAAATTGAACGTACATGGCTAGCTATTGGTCTTAGGTTTAAACAAGAGGCCCAGAGGGCCTGTATCGCTCACCTGAATATGTTTAAAATAATTGGTATGGAGTAAAGATAAAGCACTGCATGGTAGGTGCTGTAAATACATATGAAATTTCATAAAGATCCATCCAGTACTTGAGATATAGCGAGAACAAATTTCAAACAGAGCCCCCAGGGGAGGTCATACCCACCGTTTATACAAAATTGAGTCCCCTTGTCCAATGGATGCTCCAGACTAAATAAGGATAAAATCCCTTAATCCTGATGGTAAAAGAAGGATTTTCAAGGTTTTACCTCTATTTCTCCTATTGGGCCCCACCCTTCTGCCCCCCTGGGAGACCACACCCACTGCTTATAGAAAATTGAGTCCCCTTGGCCCAACGATGCTCCAAACAAAATTGGGTTAAAATCCCTTAATCCCTATGGTAGCAGAAGGATCATTTATACAAAAGAAGAAGGTATTTTAATTTATACAAAATTGAGTCCCTTTTGCCCAAGATCCTCCAGACCGAATTGGGAACAAATCCTTTCATTTCTACAGAAGCAGAAGGATTTTAAAGAATTTGCTATATTTCCCTTATTGGGCCCCGTCCCTCAGCCCCCAGGGGGGCCAGACCCACCGTTTATACAAAATTGGTTCCCCTTAACCACAGGATGCTTTTGACCAAATATGGACCAAATCCTTTCATTCCTACAGAAGAAGAAGGATTTTAAAGAATAATTTGCTATGTTTCCCCTATTGGGCCCCGCCCCTAAGCCCCCAGGGGGGGCCAGATCCACCATTTATACAAACTTTGTTCCCCTTCCTCCAAGGATGCTTTTGACCAAATATGGACCAAATCCTTTCATTCCTACAGAAGAAGAAGGATTTTAAAGAATAATTGCTATATTTCCCCTATTTTGCCCCGCCCCTCAGGCCCCTGGGGGCCAGACCCACCATTTATACAAAATTGGTTCTTCTTCACCCAAGGATGCACCACACCAAATTTTGTTAAAATCCGCTCAGTGGTTCATGACTAGTAGTGTAAAGTTGACGGACGCAGGACGACGGAAGACGGACGCTGTGGTATGGCATAAGCTCACCTTGGTCCTTCGGACCAGGTGAGCTAAAAAACCTGACCAATCACTAGGCTGATACCTGTCCTTTCAAGATTACAGAGGAGTGACACCCAACCTCAAAAGCTAGTCGATTTTTACTGTTACACAACCACAAGATTCTTTCGATATGCATCAAAGGATCAAACTAGTCTTCCTGTTTCATTCACAAGGTGGAGCAAATTGAGCCTCTGATTTTGTCATGACATATTTTGATGTGCAGAGACAAAAGTGAGTGTAACCGCTTGAGTATCAAGCCATATTACCTGTACATACCTTTACAATGAGCATATGGCATAGTGACTAGGTAGTCCTCCCCTCGCTTCAGGAATGTGAGTTTCGCAGTCCCATCCAAAATGGCGGACAAGGAGTTCCCTGATTAAACACAAACAGTTTCATGAAACAGTGGCTAAATACTATCTAATACTATATAATCAATGATGCCATTTTTTCTAGAATTGTTGCAAAGATAAACTTTTCATTAAATACAGGAATCATTGCATAAAACCTGAAATATGGTCAAACATTATCATGAAATTCTATTTTAGGTGTCCTGACAAAGTTCATTTTACATAACACAAACATTAATTGTTTATAAAGAACAGGGATACAGACACAACCAATTGTTTTAAACCACATTCCTACTTGTCTATAGTGACCGCTCTTGGGACCAGCAAAAATGTCATTATAGACAGGTTGTCACTATAGACAGGCAGTTGTAAAGGCAGTCTGTGCCCATCAAACTCCATGAGATACAAGAACAAGTCAGGTTGGTACAAACAAATTATTTTTACCCTAGCCATTTAGCCTGTAGTATTGAAGATGCCATTGTTAATACAGTATAAAGATTCACCAACAAGTGATGGTTGGTTATCACATTTATCTAATAAGAGTCAGGAGTGAGGAAACCTAAAGTGGTTGTGGGAGTGGGAAACCTAAATTGGTTGTGGGAGTGAGGAAACCTATAGTGGTTGTGGGAGTGAGGAAACCTAAAGTGGTTGTGGGAGTGAGGAAACCTAAAGTGGTTGTGGGAGTGAGGAAACCTATAGTGGTTGTGGGAGTGAGGAAACCTATAGTGGTTGTGGGAGTGAGGAAACCTATAGTGGTTGTGGGAGTGAGGAAACATATAGTGGTTGTGGGAGTGAGGAAACCTAAAGTGGTTGTGGGAGTGAGGAAACCTATAGTGGCTGTGGGAAAGTAGAGGTTCCCCAATGAGTAATGATTGGCTACTAAGTTTATCTAGCTGAAATAAATGTTCAAACTGTATGGGGAGACAAGGGTTACTGAGTTTCTTTTAATGATTTGTAAATCAAAGAAGGAAAGTGAGATAAACATAAAAAGCAGCCATCACAAGTTTGGATGCCCTTTTCTCTTTTAACGTTCATATTATATCTTGAAAATCGTATGATCCTCTTGGAAACACAACATCATGTTTCTGATTGGGAAAACAATTGAAACTAGAACACTGAGAGGACAGTAAGGGCCCTATCTTGTGGCAATATATCCCCCATCATCATCAAGAAGCATTCTGCCCATATAGCTGAGCTTGACGTCTGATATTAGGACTCCAAAAAGAATCGCAAGGAAGCAAAATATACATTTTACATGTACTATGATGTGAGTTGTTTTTCCTTCCACCTCCATATTTGCTGGGCTAATAGAAATGTAAATACCAGTGTAATACTCATTTGTAAGCTTTGAATTTTTTTTTTATTTGACCTTAAATACCTCCTCCATCAAGAGCCAGGGTCAAAGTCAGAGATCTACTTTGTCTTTGACCTTTGGACCCAAATGACCTTGTAACCCTGATCTTTGGTCAAGTATCAAGTATCAGGAAAAAGATGCAAAATTTGGCCTTGACCTTTGGTCAATTGACTGCTTGTTTAATTCTGACCAACATTGCCTCATAATGTCATCACAAAATGGTTATCAGGGAAAGATACAAAAGTTAACCTTGACCTTTAAACCAGTGACCTTGACCTTTGATCAATTGACTCCTTGTTTAATTCTGAGCAATATTGGTTAAAAGTGTCAAAGAAATGTTCATCAGCGAAAAGATGCAAAATTCAACCCTTAACCTTTGGTAAGTTGACTCCTTTTTTAATTTTGACGAATATTGCTTCAAAATGTCAAAACGAAATGTTCACCAGTGAAAAGATACAAAATTTCACCTTGACCTTTGACCCAATGACCTTGACCTTTAGTCAGTTGACTCATTGTTTTTGGTCAGTTGAATCTGTAATGTGTAATCTCACCAATTTTGCATCATAATGTAATAAAATGCTCATTTGTGAAAACTACAAAATTTGACCTTGACCTCTGACACGATGACTTTTACCTTTTGTCAGTTGATTCCTTGTTTAATTCTGATCAACTTTGCCACATGTCATAATAAAATGTTCATCAGCGAAAAGATGCAAAATTTGACCTGGACCTTTGAACCTAATGACCTTGACCTTTGACCTTGACTTTTTTCCTCAGTTTGTATTTTTGTGAACTGAACATCTTTAGTTATCAGTCAGAAACAAAATTTGTGGATGGACAGATGGACAGACAGAGTGATTACTATAGGCCCTAATTAACCATGATGTCACAATTAAAGATACCAGCACAAAACGTTGTTACCTGGCCAAATTAACTAATATTGGATGTAGTGTGTCTAACGCTCACCATAGAACTTGGACTTGGTCAGGATGCTAGAACTAATTGTGAAGCCGTCGTGGCGGTTCGTGACATGGAAGGCCGTCACTGGAGGGTGGTGAGATATCTGGTACAAACAAACATAAGTTATTAAGTGAATTGTGTTGACACATACAAACATATATCTACAGACCTACATGTCTGGCCATTATTATTTAGAATAAATAGGCACATATGTGTATACAGAGCTACACATTAGGCTATATGAATTATACTTACAGATTCACAAATTTTCATTGCTTTAACAAAGTACAAAATGTTTACAACAATACATTTGGCCCTGTTCCCACTTTGGAGGAAATGCAGTTTGATTCAGAGACTGACAAAAGAAATGGTGCTACTTGTAAATGTGAATTCCAACCAAAGTCAGTGAATTGAAAAACATGAAGAGACCTTACATATTGGTGTAGTATTACTGAAAATGTATCTTGATTAAGCTTGATGACTGACTTCTGGTATAAGAGAAATGTAGCTAAACACACAGCCTATTAACTCATTCACCCCTGAAAACATATTTGAACTCTTCCAATTCAAAGGTTGGAGTAATTCACTAGGAAATTTCAGGGGTGAATGAGTTAACTCACCGTTAACTCACCGTTGTCGACGTCATACAATTAGTCATAGACTACTATTGACGCTTCTACTAATTCTACTGGTATGGACTCCCGGTCTGCACCTCCCGCTCTGTAGCATGCGGGCAAACCAATATCTCATATGAACAGAAGGACCGACTGAAACAGCAAGCACATAATGAGCCCTCCATTACGATGTGGGGGCATTCAAACTCAACCTTGATGGACTTACTTGTTCAGCTAAGTAGAATGTGCGGCTCTTTGTCTTGGAGTGTTGCCAGTAACACCTGAAGGTCTCACCTAGGATGGGGTTGTATGGCTTCTTCAGCCCCTGGAGGAAACATTCATATTTTGTAGGGTGTCCATCATTTCAAACAATTTTTTCTTTTATTAAACTTTATAATTAGTTTCCAAATAATATCAAAAAAAGAAATTGGAAAACAAAAATGTCAAAAGCCATTGCAGGTAAGAGTGTGATTTCTTTTTTCAACATTAAGGATCATTGTCCCACTTCAAGCAAAACACTAGAGAATTCCACTGTATTTTTGGCTGTGGTGCAATTTTACATTTGGAGTAGTACGTTGATTCTCTTTTGTTTATTTCACCATTTTTATTTATTTTTCATAAAATTTAAGGTTATCTTTCCTGAAATAATTTACTAAAGCAAAAGGCATGCAGGAAAAGTTTCTCATGCAACGTTTCAGATTTTTGCAGTGACACAGGGATCCTTAATTAAGAAGATCTGGGTCAAGATCTTTTATATTAAATACATTTTTCAAACATTAAAAAAAATGAACATAACAAAAAAATACACAAATAGAAGATCAGTGAACTATTCCAATTTTTAGGAAAAGCTTACCTTTGGCTTTTTGTAGAAACCCGAGAGGTACCACTTAATCACACCCTTCATTCTGGAGTAAGGATCTTCATAGGTAACAGCTCTGTTAGGGGAAACACCAACAAGTCTTAGTTATAGCCTGTCCACAGTAAGTCACTCTCTCAATACCTCTAATACAAATAGCCTACTTTGGTGTCAGAGTCGCAATTCAAGTTTTGTGGAATGATAAACGAGCTAATCAACACCTTCCACTGATGACATATGAAGATGGTTGTGATATTACATCCTCAAGGCTGTAGCATTACTGTATAACGGAAAACTTTCGCTTGGAGAATTTTTTGCGCTCACTGGTAAAATCCATTTTCGCCCAAGCAATTTAGCCCTTCATATTTGATAATTGTTTTTTTATATCCCTCATCACATTTTCACTGTAATGATAAATTCTCTCCCATAACGGAGAGCGAATAAAGGCAAAAATTGAACTACTGTGAAAATTTCCCCGTATACATAAGGTGCCCAATGTGCCTCCATCGCTCACCTGGTATTAATCTCACAATGGTAACCTTAAAAGTGGACTAAAATAAAGCTACATGGAAAATATCAGTGTCTTGACTTCAAATCATTCATAAGAATTGTTAAACGATTAAAACACATTTGACCCCTGTGACCTTGAAAGTCAAACATGGACATTAAGATGAACAAACTTCATAGCCCTTCTTCCCAGAATGCAATTTGTCAAATATCACCACGTTATACCTTTTGTTTATTGAGAAGATGACTTTTAAAGATTTATGCTCTATGGACCAGATGTGACCATGAAAGTATGTCAAGGTCATTCCCATCAACAAGCAATCATCCTGTATGCTTTAGTAATTCAGAAGTCCTTTAATGATTTTAACATATTTTACCCCTGTGACCTTGAAAATGGGCAAAGGTCATTCATTTGAACAAACTTGGTAGCCTTTCATGGCTACTGGCCAAATATCATCACCCTACACATTTTGGTAATTCAGAAGTTATTTAAAGGTTTTTAAGACAATTGACCCATGTGACCTTGAATATGGATGAAGGTCATTCATTTGAACAAACTTGGTAACCTTTCATGCCCGCATGCTACTGGCGAAAAATCTTAATCACCCTGAAGCTTTTGATTATTCAGAAGAAGTTGTTTAAAGATTTCAACATATTTGACCCCTGACGACGACAGATGGCCAGGACGAGAAACGACGCACCATGCTATATGCTCACTTGGCTCCAGTGCCAGGTGAGCTAAAAATTGTAACTTTACATTAAAGACTGTTCTCATGTTACATTCTGAAAGATTGCTGTTAAGTTCTATGATGAATTCCAACTAATTTGATAAATAATGCAGACATTCCTAATTTTCTTTAAGAAAAAGCAGACCTGCAAAACACTAGAGCTTCATTAATTTTTGGAGAGAATGGAAAACTTATTTCCTATTCTTATATTTTGTAATACATAGAATAAGACTATTTATTTTTGCATTATTCAAGGAATGACATTTTGTTAATTCAGACCATTTCTTACAATCCGAAGTACTTTAAGATGACAGACTCACTCTGAAAGGATGTCAGCATGGTAGTAGTAATCGGACAGTTTATCTAGGAAGGAGCGTGGCTCTAGGATAAAGGCAGGCAGCACCACTTTTGAAAGATCCATACCTGGGCGTACCTGGAACACAGTTATACATAGACAAGGTCAATTTTCAGTCAAATCTCCTGCACATAATATGAATAGCATCATCAATCTTACAATAACCTAGCCAAAATATGTAAGACATCAATGTCCCCTTGGCCCTGTGGTTGACCTATAAATAACAATAGAGACATTAAATCTGACCTTGGGGCCCTGAAATACAAACTTTGTAGAGATTTTTGGTAAAAATCTGTCAAGACATAAATCCGTAGACTTGTGTATTAATTTGGAATGGTGAGACAAGACGGGATGAACATAGGTCACTGCCATTACCAGCATAAAATGGTGGGGGCATAATGAACCAGAAGACAGCATTAAAATACAAAGAGAAATCCATTATAAACACATCATTAATGTACAAAGCTTGAGTTGTTCCTGTATGATACTTTTAACTTTTCAATTATCAATAATTATGCAACAAATCATATTTTTGGACATATTTTAAACTTTTGAATACAAGCAATGTGAGGGTGTGGGAAGATACGATGCTTTATTGTTCTCCTGTATAATTAAATGTCACATACTGGAGAAACAAGGTTTATGATTATGTTCCCTACAATTTAAGCTGATGGATGTTGATTTAGCTGAAGATCAGTCACACCTGAAACTCACCTGTTTCACCAGGGTCCAGATAAGACTTTTGTTTTCGTCATCAACTTCTTCTGTTTGGCAAGCATCTCCTTGCTGCAAAATCAAACAGGTGGTTTTCAAAAATCTGTATTTTTCAAAGGTCTTAATATAAAGATACGTTTTATATTTACTGAAATTCAAATATCTACTTAAACAAAATAGTACAAACACGCCAGGTAGTAAAGGAGTGATGACTGAATGTTATTGAAAAATAGACAAAATTAAAATCAAACAATTTAGTTAATGACAAAATATTAAAAGCTTAAAAGTCTATGAACTTCAGGAAGGAGCCTTCTTAACAAATCAGCAATGATGCAGCAAGGCATTTTTTAAATCACGAAAATGCTTGAAACCACTTTTATATTTATTTACAAATCCCAAACAAGAATAACTTAAATGCTGTTTAATGAATGTTTATATTCAGTGCCTTGAATAGGAAAGGCAGATAAACAGATTCAAAGCTTCTAAATACCTGTATTTAATGCAATGTAATATAATGCAATAATATTTCAAACTTATTATATTTTCAACAAAAGGAACACATGTCTTAGTTATTCTTATGGCTATACAACTCATTATAAATGACAATCAATCGGTATGTTGAACTGATCATTAATTATGACGTGGGAAAATATAACATGCATTATTTCTTCAGAAAACTGAAAATTATAAGACCATGCTACCTGTCCCAATTCCTCAACCACATTCTCCAAGTACGATGTCTCGCTTGGCTGGCTGACATCATCAAACACTTTGTCCTCCTCTTCCTCTGTGTCCGACTCAGAATCGGTCTTGATCTCCTCCCTGTCTGTCCTGCTGTCCTCTTCAAGATCTATAACTTAGAAGGCAGTCATAGCCGTTTGTTAAGCCCTTTCAGCACTGTAGACCACAATAAACTCATCCAGATCGAAGCATGGAAGAGGTTACTAAAGTTACATAGGGGTGAAAGGATTAGAGGGTTTATACTGATTTAACATTACTATTTACTGTAAAAGTGGAAATTTTCATGGATTTGAAATATTCACTTTTTTCGCATCTAGTAAATTATCGCATAGCTACTAGATATTTTTTTTAGATTAGAGATAGATAGGATGTTAAGATTTTAGAAACATTGCCAAGGCGAACATTTCCACACCATGAACAGTTCAGAGTCCCAGTGTGAACATTTCCACACCATGAACAGTTCAGAGCCCCAGTGTGAACATTTCCACACCGTGAACAGTTCAGAGTCCCAGTGTGAACATTTCCACACCATGAACAGTTCAGATCCCCAACACGAAAATTTCCACACCATGAACAGTTACTTCAGAGTCCCAGAGTGAAAATTTCCACACCATGAACAGTTCAGAGTCCAAACGTGAAAATGTCCACACCATGAACAGTTAGTTCAGAGTCCAAAAGTGAAAATTTCCACACCATGAACAGTTCAGAGTCCAAACGTGAAAATGTCCACACCATGAACAGTTCAGAGTCACATTTGATGGATCAATTTACCATGATTTAAAAAGGATCAAAAGTCTTGTATTACAGACAGTGATTTTTTTTAATTTGTAGAGATTAGCATGACTTAGAGTTGTACTAGCATTTTAGCTGTGAGCACTCACCTACACCAGCGAAATGCTTCTCGCAATCACTATCATTGAGTTGTTCTTGCTCTGTGGAGGGGGGTAGAAGAGTGCCAGGCGTATCAGGGCTCTCCCCCTGTACCAGGTGGGGGTCCTTCTTCATTGACTTCATCAGCAGCCCTGTACAGCGCAGGGCCAAGTCGAGGGCATCCATCCAACACTTTCCTATACAACAGTAGCCATATTTTCAGTACCAAAAGACTGATTTATCTTGATGACCTTCACAACCAGTAAAAGCGAAAAGCATATAAAGGGCTGATAGTTTCTTAGTTCTTTAACTGGCAAACAGATGATGGAAAGGTTAACAAGCTATTCAGATTGATATGTCTTGACTGTGACCAGCTTTGACCATCAATGCACATGTCAAGTTTGGTTGGTGTAGCTCTTATACTTTCAGAGAAACTAACTTAAACGCGAAAACTTAATGTTGAAGGAGATGCAGACAAAGTCAATGGACCATGAAAGGTAGGCCACATCCAGCTTTTGATTCATGGGTTGAAGAGATGTACTACCTAAGAGTCATGTACCATGAAAGGTAGGCCACATCCAGCTTTTGATGCATGGGGTTGAAGAAATGTACTACCTAAGATGCATCTATGGTCCAAGTTTGGTTGGTGTAGCTCTTATACTTTCAGAGAAACTAACTTAAACGCGAAAACTTAATGTTGAAGGAGATGCAGACAAAGTCAATGGACCATGAAAGGTAGACCACATCCAGCTTTTGATGCATGGGTTGAAGAGATGTACTACCTATGAGTCATGGACCATGAAAGGTAGGCCACATCCAGCTTTTGATGCATGGGGTTGAGATGTACTACCTAAGACACATCTATGGTCCAAGTTTGGTTGGTCTAGCACTTATACTTTCAGTGAAACTGAGTTAAACACAAAAACTTAATGTTGTCACCGCCGTTGCCGGAAAACCAACACCTTAGTCTCGCTTCCGGTACTTCGTGGCAGCGAAACAATAAAACAAGATGCCAACAGGGTATTTGTCATCTGAGCTTGAAAATCAGTTTGAGATGGTGGTGGCTATCTTGGATTTCTTTTCGAGTGTAACAATGAGGTTTACAGCACTTGGTCAGGGCAATAAGAGAAAGATTTGTATCAATTAGGTTCACCTAGGCCTGGTGGAACTTGAGTATTTCTTGAAAATATCATATTAGAGACCAAACTTGCCAGATTGGATTTTGAATGAACTTGAAAAATAACAACAGCTGTTCAACACAGCATTATAATCAAATCTGCATTATCTTACCATTGCTCAAATGTGCAATAATTAATATTGGTTACATTAGTTTTTAAGAATCTTTCAAAAAAGTAAAAAGAACTGTTTGAAGTTGATGTTGGCCAACATGCAATAAGCTCAAGAGAAGATTCTGGTCTGTGGAAGTAAACTTGATTTACTTACCTGCAGATTCTGACAGGGACCGAAAGATGAGGTAGGAATAGGGCAGTGGCTGAACGATGGCCCCGATTGTCTCCCCTTTTGGTCCCTGAAAATTTTTATCAAAATTTATATATAATAAAAATCTTTTGAGGGTTATTAAAGAAATGGAGAGTTGCTGGAGCAATTAATTTACATATTGCAATGTTTAAACAAATCCACTAAAACTGGAAAATTACAGTCACATGTACAAAAAGTTCAAATTATTCTGAAGTTATATCGACTTTTTTTATATATAGAAGAAGTTGTTTAAAGGAAAAAGTTGACTCTGGACGAACGATGGACGGACGATGGACTCCGCACAAAAAGAGTGTCTTTATCATTCATATTTTTTTTACATTTTACAATCATTTTGATCCTGATGAGAGTTATCCACCTTGAAAAAAAATGGATTTTTTTGCAGAGGGATAAAATTTATTCAATGACATTAAACTAAATTATGATATTAAAATTATCCATTTACTGTTCTTTTATGGAACAAAATTACTCTCAATCATGTACACTTTAATTTGGACATCATTCCATAGCCCACCTACACATGGTATATTTACATGTCAGGTACATATGTAACCATAGGCTATCGCATGGTATGCTGTTATCACGTGCATGCACATGCACTGGTTTATTAAAGGGGTCTTAAAATTTTAAAAAACATTATTTTCACAGAGTTGTTGTAATTGCATTTACAGTAACCTTCCCTTAATTTACATTTGGATATAACTGTAGCACAGCTTGGCCAGGACACTTCCGTTTGGATATAACTGTAGCACAGCTTGGCTAGGACACTTCCGTTTAGATATAACTGTAGCACAGCTTGGCCAGGACACTTTCGTTCAGATATAACTGTAGCACAGCTTGGCTAGGACACTTCCGTTTAGATATCACTGTAGCACAGCTTGGCCAGGACACTTCCGTTTAGATATAACTGTAGCACAGCTTGGCTAGAACACTTCCGTTCAGATATAACTGTAGCACAGCTTGGCCTTGACACTTCCATTTAGATATAACTGTAACACAGCTTGGCTAGGACACTTCCGTTTAGATATAACTGTAGCACAGCTTGACCAGGACACTTCCATTCAGATATAACTGTAGCACAGCTTGGCCAGGACACGCCCGTTCAGATATAACTGTAGCACAGCTTGACCAGGACACTTCCGTTTAGATATAACTGTAGCACAGCTTGGCTAGGACACTTCCGTTCAGATATAACTGTAGTACAGCTTGGCCTTGACACTTCCGTTTAGATATAACTGTAACACAGCTTGGCTAGGACACTTCCGTTTAGATATAACTGTAGCACAGCTTGGCTAGGACACTTCCGTTCAGATATAACTGTAGTACAGCTTGGCCTTGACACTTCCGTTTAGATATAACTGTAACACAGCTTGGCCAGGACACTTCCGTTTAGATATAACTGTAGCACAGCTTAACCAGGACACTTCCGTTCAGATATAACTGTAGCACAGCTTGGCCAGGACACTTCCGTTTAGATATAACTGTAGCACAGCTTGACCAGGACACTTCCGTTTAGATATAACTGTAGCCCAGCTTGGCCAGGACACTTCCGTTTAGATATAACTGTAGCACAGCTTGGCCAGGACACTTCCGTTGACCGGATAGTTCAATCAGTTAGAATGATAGTAAAATAATCTGAAGTCTGGCATTGGAATCCTGGTCAAGCTTCGCTGATTTTTTTTACACTCATAACACTATTGTTGATTGTATTTTGTTTATTTTATCTTTATTTTTTCTCATAAAAGTTCTGCAAGGTATAGTTTTCTTTTTAAAAATGATTTATCAAAGCTACAGCAATGTCAGAAAAAACTAGTGGCCAACACTTAGTTACAGGTTTTGCCAGTGGTACAGGTATCCTTAATAATGGAAATTTTTCAAATGTCAAAATAATAGCCTCACCAAATATTGTATTGGCAGTTGCTAAATCACAATCATCATAGCAAAGCTGGTCACATTGAATCACCTTGACTACATTAGGACTTAGAAGGTCAGGTTGGTGTACAAAATACAACAGTGATACCTTTGTGGCCCAGATTGATTGGTCCAGAGGATGGAAGAGTTTGAAGCAGAAACCGTCCTTCTTAGATGGTCGCTCGATCAGCCTGCAGGTGTTCAGCAGGACGGTTCCCACCCAATAGCTACTCTGTAAAACACAAACTTGATCATGATGGCAATTATCCTTTGCATAAAACGATTAAAAGAAATGAATCTACATGACAACACTGAAATGAGTTGTAAATAAAAGCTGAAACAAAGGCAGATGGGTTTTTTTACATTTGAAACTGAGGTCATTATCTAGCCACTATTTACTGGCTTGCATAGGAAGAACTTCTCTTTAGCTGAAGCGCTATAGAGTGACAGACTAGTATAAGCAGAGATCCTGGATTCATTCTCTAACGGGGGCATCAAAAAATATGTCTTATTTTATTAAAACTTATATCAGGTAAGTTTTCGATGCAATTTAATTTTTGCCTTTTTCGTCCTCCATCATGAGGGTAATTCAATCATTACAGCGAATATAAGTAAACAATATAACATACATTTATTAGACATAGTAATTCAACATGAAAGCAGAAATTAACACTTAGCAAAAATTGATTTCATGGGTGAAGGGTGAAAATTTGACTGGGCAAAACTGTCCTAGTATACAGTATACGGCCATGGCCAGAGGACTACCAAGTAACAGCAGTATCAGGGTATGGAACATACCTTTTGTTTCTCACTTTTGTACAGTACAAGAAGCCCAGGCTTCAGAACACACCACAGCTTGGTCCAGCTCTTGAGTGTACCACGGACCTTGAGCCAATCGGCCAGCACAATGACAGAGGAATCTTTATGTGTGCTCATCAACTCCTTGGTGGCCTGTTTCTTCTGGCTGCGGTAGTACTTCTTCTGTACCTAGAACCAAAACAATACCATACTATACCATATCCTAGAAAACATTTGCCACAGTTGAAGTGTCACCCTTCTTGCCCACCATCATAAGAGCCAATTTATTCTGACAGCGAATACTAATACCCAATGTTCTGAAATATTTACATCTCTCCCTTCTTTGTCCACCATAACGTGCGCCATAGAATATGATCATTGCCAACTGCCTTCATACTACCATATATGCAGTCAAAACGAAGATCAATCCTTAAATATAGTCGTTACATGTTAATGGTGAAAGTTTGACTACATGATGGTGAAAGTTTCCAAGTATACAATTATCACAAAGAGGTCATAAAAGGCCCAACAGAAAAACTAGGCAATGCAAGATAGACACTGGAAGGAAAAACAACATTGAATTATGTTACATAGAGTATATTATATAGAGGGGAAAATAACATTTCAAGGAAATATTATATTAACCTAAATATGACATTAAGCGAAAAAACATTAATTAAATTGTACTGTACTGTATCTAACCATACCTTTAATGATTCTCGTTTGGACATTTTGGAGGATGTTCCCGTGCGTTTCTCAGCAGGAGGAGTAAACAGCTTCGACTCGGACTGAAAGTATTGCAATCAATGGCAAAGTCCAAATCATTCATTCATAATCAATTAGCTTGACAATATATTTTCAATGAAGTTTAAAGCTAAATTTGCCTGCTGTAAACTTGACCTTAGAAACTAAAGCTGCAGTCACATCTTACAGTCACGCACGTAGTTGACCGTAGTGGGAGATGACTGTAGTTGACTGTAGTAGACCGTAGGTGACCTAAGTTAAACATAATAAACGCAGTTCAACGTAGTTATAAACAAAGTTTGAATTTCAAGAAACACATTATTTGGCCTTGGTTAGCCCAAAACTTTTCATAATGTTCAAAATATCTCTACGGTGAGTTTGGATGCCAAGACCCTACGGTGACTGTAGTTTGAATGTAGTAACATTGGCAATACGGTTAACACTACGGTCAAGTAAGGGTCAAAAATCAAGAAGACATACTTACGCTGGCCCGATACCTCTGGAGGGAGAAGGAGGGGGAAGACAAAGAAGACACTCATACTTACGCTGGCCTGATTCCTTTGGAGGGAGAAGGAGAGGGAAGAAAAAGAATCATTTGGAGGGAGAAGGACAGGGAAGAAAAAGAAGACACTCATACTTACACTGGCCCGATTCCTCTGGAGGGAAAAGGAGGGGGAAGACAAAGAAGAGCTCAACATTGGACTGCCCACATCTAACAGGAGGTCATCCTCATCTGTAAAATATGTAACTAACATCAGCACACGAGGAAACAGGCAGGAAACAGTGCATTAGTCTCTTCAGCCCACTGACACAGGCAGGAAACCAACCCTTCAACACAATTGAAAATTGTGTTCTAATCCTGACTCAACACATAGGAAACAATGTTGTGCACCGATATGGAAAATGCTGTAAAAGAGATAATGCAATAACATGAACGTTTATGTTTACAGTAGCTGATTTATTTATAAACATAGTCGCAGCATGGAGCAACATATAGGCCAAGCTAACAGGACTCATATATACTGCACCTCATCAGCTTGACGTTGACATCATATAATAATGGTTTTTTTTTTCTGTGACAATTTTCTCAAACGTGGTAAAAAAATGTGATAATTTCTCTTGCTGAATTTCAAAATCACTGCTATCACACACAAAAATCTTACTTAGAGGACCTGTAGTTCTAAATAATTTGTTACAAAATTTGTATTACAAAATTTGATTTGACTTCTGTTAAGCTAACAAGTTCTGTGTTCCTGCAGTAACAATCAATAGGTAACATGTGTTATATTAACACCATTGTATGTCCATATAATATCACAAATAAGGACAATATGAATACCAAGAATGTAAATCTGCAGAGGCTTCTGTTAACTTAGGGCGTGTCATACCACTGACTTATTATTGGTATGTCATGCGTGAGAAACTTAAGGTAGAAAGTCCCAGCACTCTATTTTTTTTATCTCCAATGAAGAAAAATTCCAATTTGTTCAACATTTTTGTTCTGACTTGCTTGCCCATTTACCCGGTATACTATATGTATAGAAAGGAGTCAAATATACGAAAATTAAAGTCAAAATGAATATTTATGATTTCGATCTTTCACAAAATCAAATTACAACCAGGAATAATTTCAAAATGTTTTATCTCCCAGAAAAGACCTGCAATGTATAATTGTCTTTGTATGAATGCAGAGGAAATTAAACATATTCTACTGCAAATGATAACTTTCCAAACCCAAGTGTCTAAAGTTAAAAAGTGTTTTGGGGGGTTATATTACCTACCTTAAAGCATTTATCAAATTATAAAAAGTGTAATCATTGATTCTGACTGTTGCTGTGATAAACGCTGACGTTTAGAAGGATTGGCTGTGTTGTTTGCACTTATTCCTGGATTTTATTTACTACCAATGTGAACTCTGTATACCGTTGTGGTATCCACAGTACTATCTACCAAGAAATTGAAGAAACTTCAGTTGTCGAGGACGTTGGTCTTTTTGTGATTTATTGATTCTAACGTTAGTGCACCCAAATTCACCACCCTGTGGCGAAAATGCCATATGACATCATAATACATAAGATGTGATGTAAATAACGTCACCATGTCTTCAACACAGTTAAAGCCTTCATATATTTACACAAAAAGAGGTATAAGGGAAAAGTTATATTATTAATCAAAACAGCTATGAAATATCTTGAAACACAACGAATCTTAAAAGTTTGGTCTGTGTGATGGACACCTCGTCAGCTAAACTCATTAATCTGAGGCCAGTTGGTTGTTATTTATTGTAAATTCATTGCATACACATTGAACATACCATATATCAATGCTAATTGCACTTGATGGTAGACTGAGCTGTCAATGCAAGTAAATTGTTTTTCTACAAGTGTACTTTGGTACATACAATGTACTGACGACCCAATGCATGTTTATAGAAATGATGATCGTACATGTACGTAGAGACAGACATTTACAAGACTTTTTACATCAAAAGTGAGTACATTTACAACACATGGTCTGGCAGTCTTTGTTGAACAAGTGTTTAAGCCAAAAAAAAATGTTTTAATTTGTCAGATGTTTCCTGTTGACATTCAAGACGATCGGAGATGTACATGTGACAAATTATCCAAAAGCCCTGGACTCTCTCATCCGGACCCGATTTAGCAGCGATTTGGACTTTATTGCGTATCATGTAAATTGACCTCAACCCGGCCGTTACCAGTCGTCTTTCTCAAACAGCATTAATCAGTTTCTTAAAGTTACCACAAACAATCTATCACAACTCAGAAAAGCAATGTATTTCAATGTTAATCAATGTTACACACACACATTTGGAGATGTTCGTATCAGTAACAATTGTGTAACATAAACATACAAAATTTTACATTTAAACACTTAAGATTACGTGTAAATATTAGTAAAATGTTTGAAAGTAACCTTTGAGCAAAACCACGGAAGGCCTGATGACGTCACAAATGTTGCTGCGTGACGTCATTCAGGCGTGTTTACAACAATGTTTATTTATAGGCATTTCAGTCAAATCGTCTTCTGTACTGGTGCCTGTCGGCATTTTGATATATGCGTTTTTGGACGAATAATTAACCGAAACCCTTACTAATGTGACAAATTTGCCTGCACTAACATAAGTATTTTCACTCAGTGGAATTTCAAAATGAATTTCAAGAATATTGACAGGTTTATTACAATTTACATAGTTTACTTAAGCTGTGAATATTCCACAATGGCTTCATAATTAGCTCACTTTGTCCTAGCCTTATCTAAAAGGATTTCCTGCCAGCTGATTAACAACATATCTGCTAGAGACATCAACTCTATAATACCTATTCAACATTATCTGGATCAAAGTAACACTTCTACACAATATGAATTTATTTCAAAATTCACTAAAAAGAATTAAATATTATTGGTTCAACCGCCCATCCTGCCCTCCTACTGGCTATTATCAAAGATTAGACGGTCAGCTGGTGCAGAGAAGAACATGCTCGCCTTTCACCAAGGGTTCGACTCCCCGACCAGATGTAACAAGAGGCCCATAGGGCCTGTATCGCTCACCTGATTATGTTTAAAATAATTGGTATGAAGTAAAGATATAGCACTCCATGGTAGGTGCTGTAAGTACATATGAAATTTCAGAAAGATCCATCCAGTACTCAAGATATAACAACTTTCAAACAGAGCCCCACCCCTATGCCCCCAGGGGGGGTCACACCCACCGTTTATACAAAACTGAGTCCCCTTGGCCAAAGGATGCTCCAGACTAAATAAGGATAAAATACCTTAATCGCGATGGTCGAAGAAGGATTTTAAAGGGTTTACCTCTATTTTTCCTATTGGGCCCCGCCCTTCAGCCCCCTGGGAGACCACATCCACTGCTTATACAAAATTGAGTCCCCTTAGCCTAAGGATGCTCCAGACTAAATGAGGATAAAATCCCTTAATCCCCATGGTAGAAGAAGGATTTTAAAGGTTTTCCCTCTATTTCCACTATTGGGCCCCGCCTCTCTGCATTCAGAGGGGTTGGACACACTGTTTATACAAAATTGATTCCCCTTCACTCAAGGATGCTTCATACCAAATGTTGACAAAATTCTTTCATTCATACAGAAGAATAAGGATTTTAAATAATTTGCTATATTTCCCCTATTGGTCCCTTCCCTTCTGCCTCCCTTCTGCCTTCCTGTTTACATGAAATTGAGTCCCTTTTGTCCAAGGAAGGATAAAATCCCTTAATCTTTATGGTAGAGGAAGGATTTTAAAGGTTTTACCTCTATTTCCCCTATCGGGCCCAGCCCCTCAGGTCCCAAGGGGGGCCACACCCACTGTTTATACAAAATTGGTTCCCCTTTACCCAAGGATGCTTCAGACTAAATATGGAATAAATCCTGTCATTCCTACAGAAGAAGAAGGATTTTTAAGAATTTGCTATATTTCCCATATTGGGTCCTGCCCCTCAGCCCCCAAGGGGGCCAGACCCACCGTTTACACAAAATTGGTTTCCCTTAACCCAAGGATGCTCAACACCAAATATGGACCAAATCCTGTCATTCCTACAGAAGTAGAAGGATTTTAAAGAATAATTTGCGATGTTCCCCTCTAATACAAAACTGAGTCCCCTTGACCCAAGGATGCTCTAGACTTAACAAGGATAAAATTCCTTAATCCCTAGGGTAGGAGAAGGATTTTGATGGTTTTACCTCTATGTCCCCTATTCGGCCCCGACTCTCTGCCCCAAGGGCGGCCACACCCACCATTTATACAAAATTGAGTCCCCTTGGCCCAAGGATGCTCCAGACTAAATTAGAATACAAGAGATCCCAGAGGGATCTTGGCGCCCACCTTTGTACCATCTTCATTAGTTCTTTGTCAGTTCGATCTTTTCTCTTCTTTCCTCTAATCTGTTTGATCGAGTCATGTTAACAGTAAATGCACCTTGAGGTAACTTTTGATCTAAACTTAATACTGATGTGTATGAAAGCCAACCATCAAGGTGAGTTTGTCATTTCACATATTTACTAATACAGTACTTAATGTGAAAGAAATAGAATCAATCATTGCAATATGAGAAAGATCTGTTTAGTTCTTCTTTTAATCCATTTTGTTTTTATGATCAGTCTCAAAATATAACATACACAACATGGGATCAAGGGGAACCTACATTTAAAATTTGAGAAAGATCCCTCCCGTATATCCCGAGAAATATTGATAACAAACTTTCACTATCAAAATCCAAGATGGCTGCCTGTCAGCCATGTTGTTTATCCGATCAGTCTCAAAAATTGCCCTGCACAGCTAGGACCAAGGGGAACCTACATATAAAATTTGAGAAAGATCCCTCTAGTACTTCTTGAGAAATAGCGATAACAATAATTGTTTACGGACGGACGACGGACGACGGACAACAGACGGACGACGGACCACCGACGCAGGGTGATTTGAATAGCCCACCATTAGATGATGGTGGGCTAAAAATCCCGTAATCCCTAATCCCTTCATAATTGTTGTAAAATAATTAAAGTTTATATTTACATGTCAAAGAGGATTTCATAATATGGATCTTTCCAATATATATATTTTAAAGAAGTACATCGAAGTTACACATGTACATTTTGTAGCATTGTCGCATCAGCTATGGAAACATCTGACATTTATTAGCAACTCTATATCTGACTAGGTATAGGTGTACACAATACACAAACATGTACATTTTGTAGCATT